GCACTGTGGCTCTTTGTCAGCCTGGCTACAGTGCTGAAAAGAAACCTGGGGTTGTTCTTATTTTCCTCAATCAGTGATGAATAAAATGTGGTTCTGGCACTATGAAGGGCTTTCTTATATGTTATTAAACTATCTTTCCAGGCTATGAAAAACTCTTCTGACTTAGTGGAGCGCCACCTCCTTTCCATTTTTCGTGATGCCTGCTTTAGGGAGCGGAGCTGCGAGCTGTACCACGGGGCTAGCCTCCTCTGTTTCACTACCTTCTTTTTCAGAGGGGCAATGGTATCAAGTGTATTACGCAGGAAGGCTGCAGTACTATCAACAAGATTATCGATTTGTGTGGGAGTAAGGTTAAGGTGGCCTCCTTCCACTGTGTTGGCAAACGGCACTGAAGTAGATAAAGATGGAATTATTTCCTTAAACTTGGTAACAGCATTGCCAGATGGACATCTGCTGTAGTGGAATTGTTTCCCACATAGAGTATAATCCATTAATGGAAATTCAAAAGTTATTAGAAAATGGTCAGACAGAAGAGGGTTATGGGGAAAAACTATTAAGTGTTCAGTTTTGATGCCATATGTCAGAACCAGATCAAGAGTGTGATTAAAACAGTGAGTGGGTTTATTTAGTTTGAGAGAAGCCAACTGAGTCTAATAATGAACAGAATGCATTGTTGAGGCTGTCATTGTCGGCATCTACATGAATATTAAAGTCGCCTACTATGATTATTTTATCTGTACTAAGCACTAAATCAGACAGAAAGTCTGAGAATTCACTTAAAAACTCTGAATAAGGAGCAGGTGGACGGTATACAATAACAAACAGAACAGGCTTTTGAGTTTTCCAGTTTGGGTGTGAGAGACTCAGGGTGAGACTTTCAAATGAGTTATAACTATGTTTAGGTCTAGGGTTGATTAATAGGCTTGAGTCAAAGATCGCTGCCACGCCACCACCTCGGCCTGTGTTTCGAGGGATGTGACAGTTACTGTGACTAGGTGGAGTGGATTCATTTAGACTGACATATTCTTCCTGCTGTAAACCATGTTTCAGTAAGACACAATAAGTCAAAGTGATGTTCACTTATCAAATCATTCACTAACAGAGATTTAGATGAGAGAGATCTGATATTTAATAGTCCACATTTGTTTGTGTATTGTAGTGTGTATTGTGTTGTCATCTTTTTCTTCAAGATAGAAACCTGGCATTTGTTCTTGGCTTTCATTTCCTGCTGTCAGCTCAGATGTGAGGCTTTTGTCTCAGATGAGCTGTACAAGGAATAAAAATAGTAAATTGCTTGGCCAGTAATTACTTTCACATTCTGCACTCTGCCCCTTCTTTCAGCGCCCAGCCACATAAGAACCCAGAATGATGTGACACAGTGCTCCACAACCAGCAGTTGTGTATGGGTGTGTGTAAGAGGCCCTTTGGTGCCTGACGAAGCCAGAGTTACCTATTTACTCTTTGCACAGTGACAACATGCATGATGCCTCATTAGGATTTCTGGCGTATACAATATGTCAGGGTCAGAATCAGAATCAGCTTTATTGGCCAGGTGTGTCGGACACACAAGGAATTTGACTCTGGTACATCAGCTCTCAATGTGCAAAATAAGCAGTATAGACAGGTAGTAAACAATGCAGACAGACAAGGAATGCTCATTGTGAAATGGGATAAGTAGGAATAAAAACAGAGTACTTAAAACTAGAGACCTGTACGAATCCATATAATCTGTACAAGGTAAATTTACAGGTGTTGCACTGAGGGTTATTGTCCAGTCATACTGTTGTTGGTTAAGTGTTCATCAGAGTGACAGCCTGGGGGAAGAAACTGTCCCTGTACCTGGTTGTCTTGGTGTACAGTGACCTGTAACGTCATCCAGAGGGGAGGAGTTCAAACAGATTGTGTCCAGGATGTGAGGGGTCAGCAGTGATCCTCTCTGCCCTCCTTTTGTTGATGTGGGACATTGATTTGCAATGATGACATCATCATTATTATGTATTTCAACATTTATCATTTAACTGTCGGCTTCAAGCTAAGTGACAGTTCTGTTTTCTGGTTGTAATTAGTGCTTCCCTTTGGAAGTGTTGCAGGGGGAGCACAGAGTGTAATGTAATACAAAAATGTAGAGGTCAAAGGTTAAGAAATTAGAAACCAGGGGGTACTGTACTTTTCAACATTTGTTCATTTTTCTTTCTTTACACTTTTTTGTAATTCACCAAAAAGTTTAGTGATGTATGTTTCCTGTTTAAACATCTGCTGAAATCCTTCTCTGTGCTGTTTCTCTACACATTAACCCTCATGAAGATATCTGAGTTAGTTTGCTGGTGCGTGTGTGTCTGTGCACGTTGGTTGGTGCTCCAGCTTTTAGAAGTCAACATTGCACAAGCCATGTGGGGGAATGAGCCCTGTTGTGTATCCTGGCATCCCAACCATTTCCTGTCTGATAGTATTATGAGCCCTTTGTGCTTTGCTCTCTTATGGCCGAAGACGTCATGACGGCACTCTGAGTGGTAGTTTACTGTGAGAGGGAATTAGGACAGGAGGTTTTTGGAAAGTGGCCACTATGGTGAGTTTGACCATCTGACGTGGAACATTTTGGAAGAACACACAGATGTTGGATAAAGTATGAATCTTCATCTGACAGTCCTGTTTGGATTTTAGGCTGATGAACTGATAAATGCCTAACTGAGTCTGTTCCCCTTGTGCCCCCTAGAGCTGAAAGATAGCCTCCTACAATTTAGTCATTTTTCCTTTAATGGTGAATAAATGACTTCATTATATTTTTACATTATTTAGATCATAAATTACTCTCTTGTGAAAACATGGCCCCTGTCTGGCTTAGTGGTCTTGATGGACTGCCTTACATAACGTGGTCACCGGGAATGTGCATTGGGTATCATTCCTGTGTTCAGATAACTGTTTTTCTAGGATGTCCACCGGTTTGTCCAGGTAAACATCTGCATTATTCACATTTCATTGCTTTCACTGCAGAATCTCTGTTTGTTGTTTGTCTGGAAACAAACGAGGTCCACTGCGAAGGGCTATTCCCCTTCCTCTTGTTAATTCAAACCACAATTAACAGTAACAGCCCACTAAATTAAGATTTATAGAACCACAGAATTCTGTCTCAAGTGCCAGTTCATCTCACAGCTTTTTGGAAAGTGCTAACATCTCTGAAACACACAGGAAGCTGCTGTTTGTCCACGTCCTCCAGTGTTTATGTCATGTGCAAATGTCTGAGACAATGTTAGCCATCGTAGCTCCTGAATGATGGGGAAAATGGGTGAGATGCTGATAGACTACAGTACGCACAGCTCTGCTCGACTACTCTTTCACTTTTCTTTCAGTGTAGTCTGAATTAGTTGACCTTCAAAGCTTTTGGTCTGTCATTTAGGCAGGAGATTAAGGTCAGCAAACCCGATAATGTCAGCTTTGTACGAAATGTGAGGTGTTCATCATCTGAACATGACCTCAGCTTTTTTTGTGAAACGTCTGAAATGTCTATCATCAGCAGCTACTGTTAACTCATGACATTCATTGCTGAAAGAATGCTAATTTGTTACAGTGTCACTTTTCTGCCTGTGTGTCTCTACTTGTTCTATTTTGCCTGGAGTCCATGAACTTCTGTGGCCTGCAGTGTTTTTAAGGATGCTGGTAAACAATGCTTTGGTGCCGCTCCAACCTGGAACATTTTACCACAGCCCAAATAGCTGCAAAGAAGAGCTCTAGGGACAAGAAAAATAAAACAGAAACTATGTTGCTATGTCGACAGGGGGCCAGGCTTTCATGTGTAGCTGTGTGTGTTTTGAGTTTTCTCCCCTGTCTACATTCTTGTCTCCTTTTTTTTTTTTTTTTTTTTTGAGGAATGGTGGAAATAAAGGCCCCTGTTGGATCAGATCAGAAAGTGCAGGATTCTTCTTCCTATCTTTCCCGCCAAAATTAAAGATAGTATGCTGCATATTTTTAGAAAAACTCTTACTCTATAGCCAAGACGTCCCACTGAAGGTTATGAGTTGCAGCACCAGCTCAGATTCAAAGCTGTTTATGTACATGGCCTTAAGTCAAGTTTACTCTGGCCATTCTCATTTACGCAGTCCCAACAGAGTTTACTGGAGATAAGTGCAAGCTTCCTATGAATTAAGTACTTTTGAGTCCTTTTTTTCTTATTCTTCTGTTCACATTTTTCTCTCTGATCTTTGTATGAAAGTTTAGTTTGGACCCCTAAGTCCTCTGCTCTAAGCCTCTTAATGTGCTACTCATCTTAATACTATTCTCTTGAAATCACCATTAAGTGACCTAAAACAATCCCAGATACAAAGACATGTTGGCCTGGTGTGTAAATGTACAATATTTTCACCTAGTCCCTGATTTTGAGAAACTAAAAAAAACAGAGAATTGAACTTGCTTTCTGGTTGTGACTGCTTGATTAATGGACACAGCATTAGTATAGCCAAAAGGACTGGGTTTTATGCTAAGTCTTCCTTCAAGGAGACTTGTATGGCAATCTAGTTGAGGAATGCAAAATGTAAAATTACCAATAAAATCAAGACTGGAGTGCTCTGACAATTGTGTTAGAGCATGGATTATATAAGGCTATTGAAAGCATATGTCCTAAAAGGTTGAGCAGAGGAGAGTGAATGGTTTTGTCAGAACTTTGTTGAGCATCTGACATTTAACAGGGCAGTGTCTTTACTTGACAGGGAGCTACATTGTCTATAGAGTCTTTGCCCCCCAGTCTTTGCCCCATATCACATTTCTGCATTGCTAATTTGCAGACATTTGTTAGTGATGCCAAAAGACATAAGCTTCTTCTTATGAATTTCATTTCATAATTGATTCAGAATTGCAGTGCATAAGATGGGTCTTCTTTCCCCATTGACCTAGGTGTATGTGTGACTTCTCTGTTGGAAACCTCTGCTGCTTATTTTGGGGCAGCAAAACAGATGTCTTCTGTTGTGTCTTGTTCTGATGCAGCTTCTCCCCTGTTGTTTGACCCACAGGACTGTTCCAGCTCAGAGGAGTACACAGTGGCTGCTGCATTGCTGCCCCTGTCAACAGCCTTTTACAGGGTAAGGGACTGAGTTGAAAAGACGGATGTATATGAGTTCAACCTGATGCTTATGTTCTGCTTATTTTCATTATTATGCATACAAACTACTGCTTTGTCAGGTATACAGTGGCAGTGTAGCATCTACTGAATCAATTTACTACAAAATACTACATATTTTTCATTTACCTCCACTCGCATCTCACCAGCTCTAATAAATTTGAGGTGAGCAAGAAATGTCTCTGCAGAAAAAATGTCCACATTGCTCAGAATAATTGTCAACAGGCCTCAGTGACTGTGACCATAAAGTCAAGCGGATACCTCTGCAAACATTTTCTTTGAGCGTGTTTACCTTCAAGCCCATTTCCACACTGAAAACTGTCTGCAGACCAGTTTTAACTGTTTCTCTGATTATCAACAGTACATTGTGTTAACAGCTGGTGTTGGCTGGTATAATACACTGGGAAGTCTGGTATATCAGCTGATAACTGCAGATATTTCTTTGCATGGCACTGGTGTCATTTACAGTAGATACTATGTCTCCACATTATACTGTATATATAATATATATACTGTAGTTTGTCCAGCAAAGAGAACTTCCAGGTTTAATTTAAGGAGTCCTTAAAAAAGTGTATGTTACATGTTTATGTGAAAAGGGAAAATCAGCCAATATAGTTTTAAAATTCTGATCATTATTCTTATTTCATTTAAAATATGAATATTGTTTCCAGGCTAAAAATCCAGCATCACTGGGGCTTACGTTAACTCTACACCCCCACAGCTTGCTTGTTACTATGGAGATAGAAACAACTGTCTGGTTTGGGGTTTTTGTTGGGTACCAGTACCATACCCTGATGGGCTGGCCTGGGATCTGGCCCACACATGACTCATCCCCTTCACATGCCCCAGACTGATGTAACTCTCTTAGATAAACCCTATGTTTAGTTTTTCTTGCTTCTCTTCAGGACCACCAGCATTGAAAATGAATCATTTAAGTCAGTGTTGTGTTAGCTTGTCACACCATATAACAACTATATACCACAACAAAACTGTTCTGCTTCATAAGAATATTCATTTATCATAAGTCACAGTTATTACACACTGCCATGGTTTCCCTCTTTTTCAGTTAGAAGCTTATAAATGATTTCTTGTCTGGCACTGATAACTAATTAGAAGAAAAAATATTTTGAAAATGCAGCACAGCACATTTTCCTTGTTATTTACACATGATTGGAACTGGTGACAAGCCTGAGCTCTCTCACCCGAAGGGTGAAAAGTAAAGTGAGATCAGGAGGGAATCGGCCAAAATGATTTGTAATCTCTGGTTTAGTGGTGGAAGGATCATGCATTGGAAATATGAGGAAAAACAAAGCCTGGTAATGGAGCATCTCAGTAGCTGTCATCATTAATATGGACTGAGAGTCATGCATGATCCTGACTTTTAACAATTGATCCATCATTTCACATGTTTTTGGACATGTTCAATAAACTTTTTTTCTCTTTGCAAATTTGAGCATTATAAAATACAGCCTTATAAATTTGGTAACATGAAGCAGATGCACTGGTTTTGCAAAGAACAATATGAACCGTACCATGACAACGCAGCATACACTACATAACATAGAGAGTTTACATACAGTACCAGGTAGTTGTTATATAAGTATACAATATCCAAAATATTTCATCTCATCTATCAGAAGCTCCCCACTATCCTGAGCCTCTATTATAATTTAAAACATGTAACATCCTCTGTGAGACTGCTAGCATGGGATTAGCATGTACAGTAGCACTGATGGTACAGTAGTCTGTGGTAGGCCGTGTCTTCAGGGTAATTTTCATGCAACATTTGTTCCTTAGTCTCAATGAAACTGTGTTTTAAATGAAGGAAACTTTATTTAACCAGCTCTCACAACTGAACTGATATTGGACATATTTCTATTTGTGCATATGAGCCCTACTTTAGAAGTGGTTTGGTGCAGCTGCAGTAGAGTATGACGGTGCAGTGCTGTCGCTCTGTAGCGTGAAGAAGGCTCCAATACTTGCTAGCAACACTAGGAAAATGATTTGAGAGTTTTTCCAAATTCACAGCTTGCTTGTTCTGAGTCAAATCATTGACCAACTGAAAAACATGCTGTTTTTTTGTTTTTGTTTTGTTTTGTTTTTTAACTGCCAAATGTTGGGTGAAAAATTGCATTGCACATTAGAAAATTTTAAAATTCAGGAGTCAGACTTTGGTCGAATCCCTGTTTGGTGTTCTTGGCCAGGCTGTCGGTGTGTTCATGTTACAGTGGCACTGCCCCCAAAGCCCTTCAGTCTCAAGGTCGGGGAATGTGGGAAGCTCCCTCACAACTGTCTGCTCCCAGACTCTGCTGTGTCACGCAGTGCTTAGATCCATTACTAGCCTGTTTTGAAACTGAACAGCTTATGCTTTTGGCCCACATTCTATGATCCGATGTTTTGTTTTCCTATTAATTAATTGGCCTCCCCTCTGCTTGACCGCTCTGAATGTTTTGCTCAAACTAAGGCACTTACGGAACAGTATTTGATAGGTTTTTGTTAGTATAATAGAAAATCACACGGATGGGGTCATTCGAACTGTGTAGGTAAAGTTCATTAGGACACCACATTGGCCCTTTGTTACAGTTGATATTTTACATTTTGTTGTGATTCATCTGATGACAATTACTCTGGTATTCATTATCTGTCAAAAGGTGGGTTTATTTGGAGGTTTCAGTTCAATCAGTTCTCTTTCTGCCCTTTTCACTGCAGCATAATATTTTTTCTTACATTTGAATGTGCCACAAGAGCAAATGTTTCTATCTGTGGAAAAGACAACAGCTAGAGAAAACCCCAAACACAGTTCTGGACAACTTGCATAACAAGACCACTTGAGTGTTAGCATTCTTTCAACCCTAGTTTATGCATGAGGGATTTGGTAGCTCAATCTGTCAGATTGGTCTACACCGCGTCCTCATGAGAAAACATACATACTCGGTGACCCTTGTGTACAGCTCTTGACTTACCGTATTTCTGTCTAGTTTGTCTTGGAACAATGTTAGTTTTGTATCATGGTGTTATACAGTTCTGCCCTGTGGATGCCATGATGGGTCTGTTTATTAGTTTGACTTCCACCATGTTTTCCCTGTTTGTTTTACATGACTGGATACTATAAATGCATTTTTTGAGTGCAGGTTTTTTCATGGTTTCACACTGACACAGGTGGATTGTGTACAGGTCAGGCATGCGTTTCCACAAAGGACATGTTCAGAAATACGATCTACAATTTAGGAATGCTATGAATCTCTCCAAAACACTGCTGCTCCAGTAAGGCTGGTGACATACAGTATCAGATACAGCAGTCTTCACCCAGTGTCTGCATACAAGTATGCACTCCCTTCTGTGACGATATGCACAAATTCTCAGTCTTTGAGACACAGTTGCTCTGTGTGATGCTGTGTTGCTGTCTAGCTGATGTTTGGAGACCGCTCTGAATCTTGGGTTTATATCCCAAAGATCAAAACAAGATGGTAAGTCTTCATAGTCTCATTCCTCTGACCTGTGCTCAGCATTTTCTCCTTTGTCCCCCTTTGTGGTTTCTGCTTGTTTTGTACCCTTTCTCCCCTTCACTAGTCACATGACCAGATGGGTCTGATAGCTGTATACTCCCTGCTTACCCTTCATCTACACTTCCTACGTTTCCTTCCTTTTTCCTTTCCTTTCTTCTCTCCTTCCCTGTTCTCTTCCTTGCCTATCTGTGTTGTGCATGTGTATGTAATCTCTGTGTATTATTGTATTAGGAAGAGCTGACCTCGGTCAAGATGACCTGCACACATCTGACAAGTTAAAAAAAAAAAAAAGCACAGCTCGCCTAGTATGGACAGCGTAAACAAATTACACACACAGCCAGACCCCTTACACCCACACACAACATCTGCTGTAACCCACACAGCACACTTCCTTGACAGAAAGGTATTTTACTGCTCGAAGGGCTGCACTTCTTATTGTGTTTGTCTTTATTCATTTATGGACATATTATGTACTGTACAATCATATCATCATGTCTTCAAATAGCTCAGAAGGAAACACATGTTCAGCTAGTTGTTTGGTGAGCTACCTGAAATGTTTGGTGAGTTACTTTAAATGTTTGGTGGCTAGAACAGCAGTTGAAATGTTATGCTAGTGCTAATGACTGTTTGGCAACCGTGAGCCTGAATTATTAAGAGAGTTGTGCTGTGTGTGGGAGTAGGCAAAGAGGGGTTGGTTCTGGGACGCTGGAACGCACTGTTGAGCCTTCTTGGTGTCGTGCACCCAAAACAACGAAGCATCAGTTAGTGAGAGGGTGCCCACCTGATGACCCTGTCTGTGTCTCACTGTTTTAGCCCAAATAGTGGCAAAAACCCTTGTTTTGTCCCACTCTCTCTGTGCAACCTCTGGTCTGGCAGCCACTTGTCTTGTTTTTTTTATTTTTTTATTTTATTTTAGCTGCTGAGAGCTCCTCTATGAATGGTTACTCAAAGGGACTCCTCTCAGTATGAAAAACACTGCTTATAATCTTTGCTGGGGGACAGGCGGGGCTCATTTATGGACTGAATTTTGACAACACAGGGTAGAGAAGCTGGAATAACAACAGAAGTGTGAAAGAGGAGGGTAGTAGCAGAGAGAGGCACTACATCTTGTCCCATTTCACTTGATTTAACAGACTATATGCAAAATCTTAGTTTTTGCACCTTTTAGTGCAATGCTTTTGTTTTTTCCTTGATAAAAATCATCAGTTTGTTGAAGAAATTGTGCAAATCGAATCTAATCTCAGACCACTGTAAGATGATTGAAATGAATTTTGTTTGGTAAATACCCCTTTTTGTTCTGTGTTTATTCCTTGACCTGTTTTGTTTCACCATCACCTTTTTATTATTTGTTATTATTTTATTATCTGTTTAGCCTCTGTCGTTAGCCAGCAGGATATTTGAGACTCATTCTTAAACACATGAAAATCTGCTGAACTCAGCAGTGTCACATGTTGTTTCATTTTTACAGTGTAATATTAGAAGAAGAGCAGCAGGAGACTAAACTTCAGCAGTTTTGTAAGAACAAGTTAGAATGTGTTCGAATTTTCCAAGATGTTTTTCCTACAGTTTTTGTCCTTTACTAACATTTTCACTAGTAACAGTTCTAGATCGTTAATTTGTAGCTGTGTGAATCATTTCTGTTGCAAATGAGAACAAAAAACTATAGCTGAATTAAAAGGAGAATGGTGGATGTATTAGCTCTTGTGAATTAAGACACCCATGTGAACAATAGTTTGTGTTTGCTGCTGTGTAGGCATTAGTTCTCTGGTTGTCCCCTGTCCTCCCAGCTCTCCTCTTCCTTGGCTTCTGGCCCATCTTACTGGGAATACTGTAGAGCTGTTTTGGTTCTGTCTGTTATAATTACACTAAACCCTCCAGTTCTCATCCTTTAAAAGCAAAATGTGAAGAGATAATGAAAACCACTGTACTGTGTCAGGCTCAGGGGAAAGAAATCAGAAACTAATCTAATAACAGGCCGTGAGCCGTACACACGGCCTTGAGACTACTGCAGGGAGATGGACGGTTGGTGAATGTTTGTTGTGGCCAGTCATTTATCGACATACTGTGCTTCTGGTTCAGCCCATGTTATTTGTGGTGTGCTGCTGTTTCTCCAGTATTGCGCTGTGGTGTTTTACCAGCATTAATGCCTCTAGCAGAGCACTATACATTCTACGATACACAGATCATTTTGCCCCCACTTCTCCTCAGTATTTTGGCAAACTCCTTTGCAAGGGGCACTTACTGCGGTAGAGCCCCTCTTTATCTGAATACTTGATGGGAAATAAACCTGCATGATCCCCTAAACCATCAGTTTAATTTAGTAACTTCAAGTGTGTATAAATCATCTTTTTCCATACTGTCTGCCTTGTCTCATTAAACTGTATTTACACTGAGTGAAATAATAAAACCCAAGACTCCATGTTTTTATGTCTGTTTCATCAAATGAAAATACTCTAGATGTTTTCTGCATTATTTTATACACCAAAGGAAATCTGAGCCTGACATATCTGGCATCCTAGGACACTTTGGAATTTCCTCTAGAATTTAAAATAAATTTCAGTGGTATTCAACACTGGGCTGTGCAGCAAATGCTTTTACCCACTGGGTTATAAATGTAAAGACAGTGCCACATTTGTCACTGTTGCATGCGGTAGCACAGTCAGCTGTTTAATGTTGCTATTTTACATCCTGATTTTATGAAGTGTGTTTTGTCTTGCAGAAATTGGCTGCTGGGGTGAACCAGTTTGCCTACACCTGCATTCAGGACCATCCCATCTGGACCAACCAGCAGTTCTGGGAAACCACTTTCTACAGCGAGGTACAGAGCCAGATCCGAGCCCTTTACCTTAACACTCCAGAGGAGAAAGGGGGCATCACTGCCAGGCTAAAGGTAAGAAAGGAAAATTAACCAATATGAGTAAATATTGTGTGCTAACCCCACTATTTTAACTCGTATTATAACTGACATTGAGCGAAACAAAAAGGAAGGGCACAAGATAATTTATAGAATAGCATTTGCAGATTTTCTCATAGCATGTTATCATTTCATCATTATTTTGTCTGTGTTTAAAGTTTAACTGTGAGATAGAGAATCGGTTTCAAATAATAAAGCAAAATGAAAAGTGGAAAATTATTCTCTGGTTGACTGCTGCCATTCTACAAGTCATCAGCCTGTGGCTAGCAATAAGGCATATGGCATCACGGCATTGTAAAGGTCAGCGTCTCTACACACCTGAGTTTACAATCTGTGCTTAAGAGAAAACATTTACCCAAAGAAACCAATAAAAGAAACGTCCGCACCTTGTCACGCTTTAGCTGTATCTATTAATACATAAACAACATTTTGATCTATTTGACCTTCATCAGGTATGGGCTATACTACAATCAGTTCTGGGAAGCCACCTTCATCAGGTGTCTGCTATGATACCTGGTGAAGGTCAAAAGGACCAAAGCATTGTTTGTGTATTAATAAATACAAATAAAGCATGACGGTGTGCGGATGTTTCTTATAGGGTGACACCATGACGGTCACGGACCTAAAAAAAAAAAGTTCTCTCAAACTCCATTTGTCTTTTCCAGGATGTGGGTCACGTTCCTGCAGTGGACAGAAATGAGGAGCAGACGGCCATGAACCTGGGGGCAGAGCAATTGCGTCTGTGGCCCAGCCTGAGCAAAGAGAAGCAACAGGAGCTGGTGAAGAATGAGGAGAGCACCGTGTTCAGCCAGGCCATCCACTACGCCAGCCTCATGGTTTACCTGCTGGTGCCTTTGGACACCAGTAAGAACAAGCTGCTGCGCAATGCCCCTGCTGCTGACTGGGAGAGTGGCAGCAACAGCATCGTCACCAACAGGTCAGAAGAGGGTTAGCGTACTGTGGTTCAGTGTCAGACTAGAGAAAGGATGTAATTAGCTGTTGTTTAACATCTAGACTAGAACATATTTTTGGCATGTTTAGTGTTGGTAAGGTAAAACAATCAATCTTATTTGGAGGACTCCTACAGTAAAGGTAAGGTTATATGACATAGGAGTTACGTACCATTCTTAGTGAAGTGATGATAAGTATGTGGGTGGATGTGGCATAACTCACCGTCTACATGATACCTTCCTGTTTAGCCAAATGGAACACAGCTCCTTGTTTGTTTCCAGCCCACATCCATCCTGTGGGCCTACATCGCTACTGCACAAAACATTGTGAGGCTCATTTACCTCTGCTGAGAAGTTTAAAACCCTGAGGGTGTCTTTAATGAGCCTACACTGTACTCACCTAAACCGGAAAGATGGCAATGGAAGTGATTTCTCTTGCAGTGAAATAACTGTAGAGTGAAATAAATCTGGGACGATTCCACCTTCTGTGCTTTTCCAAAAATATCTTGTTCCAAATTTCAGGTTTTGTTACCAAGTAGCCAGAACACACTTAATTGTTATGTACACTATGTAGGCATTGTTTATACACTTTGTCCTAATAGTCACAAGAACACGATGTTACACAATGTTTTATTTTAGCGTCGATTTGTAGTGAGATATCAGAAGTGTAATGGCCAAGAATTTGTTTTTGTGGATGTTTTCACTTTTTCCTTTCATTGTTGCCCCAGACGTGTTTGTTTCTCAGAGGACATTTGGATCTCATCACTCACTATTTGTGCATTCAGAGAAAAGGTTGCATCACTACCTCGTGTTAAGCATTCTTCTTGGCTAATACAATCTGACTGATTGATCCGGGCGTCAACACTTGGATTACGCCATGCTGCAGATCACTCTCACAGCTCTTTATCACGGAGCATCTCCCATGCCATTTGTGTCAACATACAATTCTGACTGCAGATCAGATCTCCTGGACATGGTACCATACATAACTTGACCTTTCTCATGTTTGCTCTGTCATCATGTGTGTTTTGTAGCATTGCAGGCAGTGTGGCGGAGAGCTTTGACACAGAAAGTGGGTTTGAGGACTCTGAGAACAGCGACGTGGCTAACTCTGTGGTCAGGTTTGTTGCCCGCTTCATCGACAAGGTGTGCACAGAGAGCGGAGTAACTCAAGAGCACATCAAGAGCCTGCACAGCATGATCCCAGGTACAGCGCTCAGTGTTCCTTCACAGTCTGTGACTGTCTTATTTCCCTCAGTACAGAGTACTGTGTACATACTCATCATAGGCCAACAGAAGCCTTTGAGCTGATTAACTCCTCACATATTAAATCTTTAAATCTGCAACCCACTCTGACTGTATGAATATGTGTTCACGTTTTCCTGTGTACCATCTCGGTGTGTGCACTTGTGTGTGCGCGTGTGGTAACTGACCCCAACTTCTGACCCACAGGCATCGTAGCCATGCAGATGGAGGCTCTCGAGGCAGTTCACAGGGAGAGCAGGAGGTTACCCCCTATTCACAAGGTGAGTGTTGCTGTGCACTGAGCTGCTGGGAATTCAGCTCCATATACAGTGTACACGATTACATGGTCAGACTTTTTTCAACTTTTGCAACTTGCTTAGAAATATTTAAAAATTGAAGTCTAGCGAGCGAGACCCAAAGTGAAAGCACAATTTCTGGGTTCTGTTGTGGAAGTTAGAAAAGCTAATTCCAAATTCCTGTTCTATAATAACACACTTGTAACATAGCAAGTTAAATGTCATCGGCCTGAGAGACTGAGGTCCCCCTGAGCTATGGTAATAGAAAGAAGAGTTCCAGATGGCTTAGAAGGTTTTAGACAAGAACTTCTCTTACAAGAGAGAGTTGGTTGATATTATGTAGTTACACTGACGTATAATACATCCAAGAATGCATAGACGGTGGTAGCTGTAGTTTTTTTTTTTTTTTTATGGTATTAAAATATATTTTGTTTAACTTGTTATCTTGTAAACTTTAGCTTAAAACAAGATAAATAGATAAGGTTTTATTTAATAAAGAATCTCTACCAATTTGAATACTAATTCAACAGTGGAGTTTGATATAATGAAGGTTTTTATTCATGTCCTAACTCAGTTATGTCCACAGTTTACTCTGTTTGGTTGCTAGGATGGAGAGTGCCAGTCTCATCATCTCATCCAGTATTTTTCCAGTCAGCATTACAGTTTCATATTTTACCAGTTGCTGTGCTGTATGTCTGCCAGCTCTTGGTAATTCCTCTTTCACACACTCATACACGCAGACAAACATCATGCCAGTACTTCCTTGGGAGCAACCTGGAGCCCACGGTGAGCAGTCGGTCTGTTGCACTTGTGGCTGTTGGACAAAGCTTTGGTCCTAGACTGCAAGCTTTGAGCAGCATGCAAAAAAATAATAAAAGTGCATGAACACCACTGACAATTTGCAGTAATTGTGGTAATGGTAGCAATAACAGCAAGAACAAAAACAGTGAACGTATTTAAGGTGCAGGTCTAATAAGAAGCGGAGCTCACAGCAGTAATGAGGTCCGGGGGGGCTCTTTTTAGTCTCACAGTTTATTCAGAGATTCAGGAAGTTTTTATTATGTCCTAGCCAGACCTCTAATCCCCCAGGTCAGCTATGTCCTTAGTGGGAAATGCTGTGAATGACCTAATACCCCTCCTAGTTGGTATTCGTGGCCGCGGAACAACTGAGTGTTTCTTTTCTGGGTTTGGAGGCCAGAAGTAGCTGAAGCAATACAGGGTGAAGACGTGACTGTTGTTACATTTCCAATAGCAGAAAAAAGTTGGCCATGTGGTGTTTGTTTCTGAGACATGGTTAATCACTCAAAAATTTGTTTTTTCTTATTTTTATATCCCATCAATACAGTCATGGCCAAAAATATTGGTACTCCTGCATTTCTGTCAGATAACGCACCACTTCTCCCAGAAAATTGTTACCATCACAAATTCTTTTGTATTCTCATGTTTATTTCTTTTGTTTTGCATTGGAACAACACAAAAAAAGCCAAATCTGATACTTTCTACACAGAACTCCAGAAATGGACTCGACAGAGTCGTTGACACCCTAAGCTTAATATTTGGTAGCACACCCTTTGGACAAAATAATCAATCACTTCCTGTAGCCATCAGTGAGTTTCTTCCACCTCTCTACTGGAGTTTTGGACCACTCTTCTTTTGCCAGCTGCTCCAGGTCTCAGATTTGAAGGGACCCTTCTCCCAACTGCTGTTTTGAGATCTCTCCATGTGTACTCTATGGGATTTAGATCTGGACTCATTGCTGGCCACTTCAGAACTCTCCAGCTCATTGTCTGAAAACATTTCTAGCTGCTTTTTGAAGTTTCCTTTGTGTCAGCGTCCTGCTGTAAGACCCATGACCTCTGACAGAGACTCAACTTTCTGACACCGGGCCCTACATTGTGCCTCAGAATTTGTTGGTAGTCTTCAGATTTCATAATTCCATACACACCGTCGAGACATGCAGAGCCTGAAGCAGCAAAGCAACCCCAAATCATCAGTGAACCTCCACCGCGTTTGACTGTAGGGACCATGTTCTCTTCTTTGAAGGCCTCATTTCATTCTCTGAAAACGGTAGAAGGATGTGCTCTGTCACAAAGCTCTATTTTAGTCTCATCTGTCCACAGGACATTCTCCCAGAAGGATTGTGGCTTCCTCAGGTAAGTTTTGGCAAACTCCAATCTGGCTTTTTATGTTTCTGTGCCAGCAGTGGGGCCCCCTGGGTCTCCTACCATAGCGCCCCCTTGTGATTCAGATGATGATGAACAGTGCAAGCCGACACTGTTGTCAGCTTGAATTTGTCTGGAAGTTGATCAGGGTTCTTGATCCACCATTCAAACAGTCCTCTGCTGCAATCTGTCATCTACTTTCCTCTCTCATCCAAACCCATGGAGATTAGCTACGACGCCACGGGCTGTAAACCTCTTGACAATGTTGCACACAGCGGACACAGGAACAGTTAAGATCTCTGGAGCTGGACTTGTAGCCTTGAGTTTGCTTTTTCACTACTGTGGTTCCCAAATGCTCAGACAATTCTTTGCTCTTCTTTCTTTTCTCCATGCTCAGTGTGGTCCACACGACACAAAGGCTGAGTCAACCTTTCTTTGAATCTCAACATGCTGACAGTAATATAAAGCAAAGGGTTATTATGAGACTTATTCTAAAATCTTTATTGCATTAGAGTTGTCTTCCATTGTCAAAGTCAGTGTTTATTTGTCATATGCACAGTTAGGAAATGTGTTTCCCTGTACAATGAAATTCTTACTTTGCCATTCACATGAATGCCACACAATACAAATGAAATATAAAGTAGATGAATAAGTAACACAAAATCTGAATCACTTTAAAGCAGCAGATGCAGAGATATAATAAAAATATATAAGAATATAATAAGAGAATGCTACATGGGAGCTGTATGTGCAGCAGTCAACAGTCAATGTGCAATCATGCATGTGCAAACTGAGAATATAAACAGTACAGGTCGACAGTACATGACGTATTTCCTTGTTTTGTCATTGTTTCCTTTACATGTGTGAGTTTGAGGCACAGAGCTGCACGGGCACTTCTGCCCGACTGGAAAGAAATTGAAGAACTGTTCAGATTGTTAAGAATTATTGTCTAAAACACAACGTCAGTTATATCCACATGGCCGTGTGTTTAAAATATAAAAACATGAAGTGAAAACCAGTGGTTATCTGTAGAGAATATGAATTTGGCTTTGTTAGCAGGGTGTGTTCTATTTTTAAAGGACGCTATCTAACGCTTGTGTGCTTGTGAAGTGTGTTTTTGATGATGTCATGCATGTAAAGCTTAAATTTCTCCTCTTTAAGGTCACATGGTGCTCTGAATTGACTTGATGATAAATTGATGTCGTGACTTTTTAAATCTCATTCACTGACGCAAATGCATTTGGGTACCTAACTGTCAGTGAAAAATGCCTAATTTAAGCTGGGACGTGTTCATAGGCTACAATTTGTACATATGTGTCTGTGCCTGCCTGGGTCTAATGTGTAATGTTGTTTTCCTGACAGCCTAAGATTCTGCGTCCAGCTCTGCTTCCTGGAGAGGAGTTTGTATTAGAGGGGTTGCGGGTGCTTCTGGACCCTGATGGCAGGGAGGAGGCCACTGGAGGCCTCCTGGGGGGCCCACACATCCTGCCAGCAGAGGGAGCCCTCTTTCTCACGACCTACCGTATCATCTTCAAAGGCATCCCCCATGATCCACTAGGTAAATACTGAACCACTGCAGTACTAGCCCCTTGTTCTTCTGAAATTCCAAACAATTATTTAAAAACGACAACAACAATCATTTCAGTAATGTGCTGTTGGTATTTGTTGTTTGTTTTCCAGTGGGGGAGCAGGCAGTGATCAGGGCTTTCCCAGTGTCCACCCTTACCAAAGAGAAGAAGATCACCATCCAGAACCAGCTGCAACAGAACATGCAGGAAGGCCTGCAGCTCCGCTCTGCATCATTTCAGGTAAAGACTGAAACACACTACACTCTCATGTTAGAGTGGGTGTGTGTGGTTGTCTGTCTCTAACTGTCAACCTTGTGATAGACTGGCGACCTGTCCAGGGTGTACTCCTCCTCTCACCCAGTGTCACCTGGGGCTGTCCCCCATGTCCCTCTGCTGGATAAGCGTTATCGATAATGGTTGGAAATGCAGTAGAAATCTTTTTTTTTTACTTTTTGTTTCTTATATTAACATAATACTTTTTTCATAAATTACTGGACTACAAGAGGGTTTTCAAACTGTACAAACTAATCTGGTATAAGCAGTAACACTTGAAATTACAATTTCCACTCAATGTGAAACATCTGTTAGAAACCTCTGCTGTTTCACAATACGAGCTTGATTTTTAGAATCACAGAGAAAAGCTATTTTCAGCCATGCATATGTTTTAGGCTTTATATCTAATGCTGTAAAACTGTTTATGGTTAATTCCTGCAGTTTTACTAGGTTGGATTATGAATGCGGCCATGTTCTTGGAGTGTAGGTCACTTGGCCTAGTTTTGCTTCTACACTCACAGGAATGTGAGTGTATGTGTGTTTTGGAGACCAAACCCTTGCTTTTTTTACGAATCTTGTGTTGGATGTGCAGATTGCAGAGCTGCACACTTTAGCAAATGTTTGGGGTAAAACAATGAGGAATCTTTGCAGCGATGAACAGACAACTATGACCCACAGGATGCTCCCTGCATTTAAAGACATGTTGCTTGGGTTGGTCAAACTTAAAATCCAGTGTAATTATTATTGCTTGTGTCATTAATTTGACCAATGTCTCTTATAGTTGATAAAAGTGGCTTTTGATGAGGAGGTGAGCTCAGAAATGGTAGAGATCTTCAGAAAGCACCTCCAGAGGATCCGCTACCCACAATCCATCTTCAGCTCCTTTGCATTTGCTGCAGGACAAACTGCACCTCAGCTAATCCTTCCAAAGCAAAAAGAGAGGAACACTGGCTTCAGGTTTGTTGTGCAGCTTTTACAGTAATGTGCTCTTGAATACATTTGCCAAAAACACCACTGAATGCTGATTTCATGTGTGAATCATTTTGCCATCAGAAATATTTGTGTAAATAAATACATGCCTCAGTGGTTTTTCTTCTCTGGAAATTCTGAATAACCCTCCTGTTTAGATGCTAAAAACTGCAGGAAATTATGTCTGTCCTGTACTCCACACAGAACGTTGTCCAAAACTATTGTCAAGGGAGCAAAGAGGGCTGGAAAGATCACCATGGGCCGTGGTAGCCAGAGCACACTGAAGAAGAACGACAGAGGCAGCAGAATGACCTGGAATGAAGATGATGACATTTCAAGTGAGAGAAATGACACATTTATAGATGGACAGAGGGAGACAAACGGACTCTACAACATCTAAGAGAGTTAGACCTTTAATTCAGAGTGCCTGTGTGTTTCAGTATCAGATGATGGAGAGCCACCCTCCAGCAGCACTTTGCGAGCATCGGAAAAGTCCACCATGGAGCAGCTCGTGGAACAGTCCTGTTTCCATGACTACCAGCGTCTGGGCCTGGGCACCATCACCGCCAGCTCCTCCCGCTCCAAGTCAGGCGAGCAGTTCCGGATCACAGCCTTGAACAGACTCTACTCATTCTGCCGCAGGTACACCACCTCATAGGCTGGATACCTGCAGCCGGTTAAAGAGCTTTAGTTTCAGCAATGCGGCTACATTGGAGTCAATCCACAAACCTGCTGGTGTGTGCTGCTTCCACTAATCACAGTACAGCCGTGCTGAGTATATCGGTTTACAGGATTTGTGGCTCTGCTGCAAGCATTGACAGCCTCAGTGTCTCGAAAGGCCACTGGAGAGCAGTCCTTGATCTGGCAGACAGATGTTTCACTTTCCTATTGAGACAACTAGATTCAAATCCATGCTGTGACTAATATGGTGATGATCCCACTCAGGTCAGAATATGTTCTGTGGGGGACCATTTATTCAGCAACATGTCCATGTCTTGCTAGAAGTGTATGAACAAGTTGCTTTGGCAGTAGCATGTTAAGGGAAGATTTCTGTTCTGTTTCGCTGTGTCAGTTACCCGGGGCTGCTCGTGGTTCCTCAGGCAGTACAGGACAGTAGTTTACAGAAGGTGGCCCGCTGCTACAGACACAACCGTCTGCCTGTTGTGTGTTGGAAACATCCCCGCACCAAAGCCGTCCTGCTCCGCTCAGGTGGCTTCCATGGCAAGAGTGTGGTGGGGTTGTTCAAGTCACAGAACCCCTCGTCAACAGGTGAGCAAACAGAGCTGCTTTTAATGTTGTTATAGCTAACTGACAAAATTATAGGTATAGGTATGCTGGCTGCTCTGTTGTGGCCATTTTAATTTAAATAAATAGTGGCAACAGTTTTTTGTCTTTTTTCTTCCCTATTCTCTAGATAGCTGATGAATTGAGTTTAAACTAATCTGATCTAATTTTATCTAATTACCTGCCTTGGAAAAAAACTGAACCTGCTGTATGCCCAAAACCTGTTTGGCTGAAATTTGTAAAGTTTTTAAGTGGTTCTCATTATTTTCTGTCTAAATGAATTGTCTTCTGTCTGCAGTCCCTGCCTCATCCTCAGAATCATCGAGTAGTCTTGAACAAGAAAAGTACCTGCAAGCCATCCTTAACTCCATCCCTATCTACTTCAAAATGAACGGAAACAACACTCTGACCAACCGCTCCCACGTAGGCCTCTCACCAGGTACGTTCTAACACAGTGTTCAGATTCTGTTTTCAGTTATTTGGTGATAAACACCAGTTCCACATCTGGGGCCATTTGGATTTAGCCTAGACACCCTATATATCTGAAAGCAGAACTCATGTTTTAGATCTCTGATAAGGCAGTTAGAAACAAGACGTTGTGGTTGTTCAGCACAGGAGAAGCACTGATTTCAAATGTTAATAATGGCTCCCTGTCATTTTATATGTTCCGCTAAACCATACCAGTGAGCATGAAACTGGACCCCCTAAATGGCATGCACCCATCAGTGTTATAAAATAAGCCTGTGTTTGACAAGTCAATGTGTTGGGCATGAAAAAGGTCTGTAAAAACCAACGTACAAGGTCATTGGCCCTGAGGTGAGTCTGTGAGGCTGCACATACCTTGCTGTCTTCACCAGGACTGGCTGACCTCAGCCCAAACCATGACCTTACACTTCCTGAGGTTGCCATATTTACTAGTTTGCAACATGCAATTCTCCAGTAAATCCATCTTATTTTTAGATTGTAAAGAGGCAAACAGAAGGGGATACCTCACCTTAATAGGTGAGGTACAACATATTTAATCCTAATTTGTCTCATTGGGATATGCCACCTTATGTTATATGGGACAAAAGCCATTTAAAGAATGTGTCGGTGGTCTGACTCTACTATTTATTGGCAAGTTGAATGTATCAGAGAATTCAGAAAAATACAGGGTTTCTAGTTGTAACTATGACTTGGATGGTGACACGAACATTATTTATTTTTATGTCAAAAACACCTAATTATAATAATGACCATATGATGTGGACAGAGCCTTACCCTAACCATAACTTAATATAATTTCAGCATTACTGTTGGATTGATTGAGTTTGCAGGGAGTCAGTGGGAAGTGCCTGCAAGGCTTTACTCTGGGTGTTAGTTCTCCCAAACCAAAGCTCCATCACCTGACTCCTGTGCCTCCACCTGAGCTTTGCGATGGCCATGTCTCCGCTGTGGGAATAAAAATAGTTTCGCTTAGTTGCAAGGGACAAGAGGCCATATAAAGTTCCTTTGTTCCGATAAAGAGAAAAACTGCACACTTGCAGTCTTGACAATTATTTTTGTTCACTTGTGCTCTGTTTTTTCTCATTGTCTTCCATTTTGTGTTTGCTCTGGTCAGCAGTTATTTTTCACCAGCTTATCTTTGTGCATATGTGTGTGTGTGTGTGTGTGTGTGAGAGAGAGAGAGAGAGAGAGAGAGAGAGACTGTGTGGTAGAAATACTGTCTAATATTTAGTAACATTTGGAAGGAAATGTGTACAATTAAAGGTTATATAAGAATCACAGGACAACCTGGGGTCACTGCCCAGCCCATCCATCTCCTTTGGCTTCATCCACCTCTTGGCTGTATTCTGAACATACTGGACAACATGCACAGCAGATGCTCACATACATGCACACACAGACATCCAGGCGATTTCTGTTACTCATTATTTAATCATCTTGTATCTTGTGTTTAAAGCACTCAGATCAGTTTAACGGTTGTTATTGGGAAAAATTGGATTTAGCTCAGGTCAGACTGAGCCAAACAGCACAAGTAATCATTGTAGTCAGTTTTGTTTTTGCTTGTAGATATACTGAGTTTATATTTGTCATTTTGTCTTGTTCATGATTAGGTGCTCACACTGTATGAAAAAGTACCTCCCTGAACCAGTTTCTTGTGTATTATTGGGTTTTGTCCTTAGGCACAGAAAGGAGGACATCCAGGATGTCCAAGATGGCTCCTGTTCACTTAGACATCCCATTCTCAAGCAGCTTTACTCGAGGAGGTGAGTGTTTTTCTGTTTCCTACTGAACATGTCATGTCTCTCCCTGCAGCCAGGTGAAATATGAAACACTAGTACTGTCATTGAAAAGTCTATAGATATGAGTGTGTAGCATCATTTAGCTGCTTAATGCAAAGCTTAAAAGGGAGGTGTATACATTTTGCTCACATATTGGATAATCACAAAGGTTTGGGGAGGCCTTGCCAATGATTTTTCTCGTTTGTCCAGCTGGGTCCCTTTTTCTCTCTGGGTTAAACACTTTTTTTCACATTTTAGAAATGTGACTGAATGTGTCATCGCAACCTTGTAAGGTGCTAAAAAACACACTGTTTCATTGGGAAGAAGACATTTCTTTTTCATTCAGATAGTTCTGAAGGAGCATTCTTGTAATAAAAGACATACTACTCTAATTTTGGAAAGTTGCATACCGTAATTTCCGGACTATAAGCCGCACCCACTAAATGTAAGACGAAAAAACATGTTGTACATAGCTGCAGGTGTCCACGTGAGATATTTCAACAGCCAGATCGATCGCCTGTAACTTGAAAGCTGCATCATATGCATTTTGTCGTGTGTTGTCCATGATGAGGGTGTGGGCATGAAGCGACAAAAGTAGCGGCTTATAGTCCGGGAAGTACAGTACCACCTATGAGAACATCTGATCCATAACCCTTAAGGACAAGATTGCTAAATTAATTTGCGCATGTTAATTTTGTTGATAAATATGCAAAATTACTTTCTCAATAATTAATAGAAAAATGAAGCTGTTTTTCTGGATGCGTCACAACAGTATGTCTCAGAGTCACATCTGGGCCTGACAGACTGACTCTTAGCTGGCCCTTTGCCTTCCCACCATCAATCATAGACAAACATATTCATGCATGGTATAATAATCATTCTCTTCATCATTTAAAATACAGACATTGTTTCATTCTGTCACTTTTTGTGGACCAGTCCAATCTTTGTTCATCTTCCTTTGCATGAATGTTTCTGTGGTCTGAAATTATTAGAATGACAGGTGGTATTGTCTATATAGTGTTGGCATAATTAATTTTTTCATGCCCCTCTCCCCACCCTCATCCTCTCTCTCTACCTCCTGTACAAAACAACCCCCCAGTGCTTGAGTACAGAGATAAACTATTCACTCACTCAAACCAAAAACCTGCCAGTAAGGAGAGAATCCCACATCAAGGTATAGTCAACTATCTCTTTCCCCCATCAGTCCTCTAACAGCACTCCTTTTCTAACATCCCCAGAGCTTCATCGTTTTCCTCTCACTAACCTGCACAAATGCTCACTAACCAAATCATGACGACACTGAACTATGCTGTAAGGCAGAGATCTTTTTAGACATAGTTACTAATCATTGCCGACTTTGTGGTTGCTCCTCTGAGAGCTGTGGTTTTTGCACAGCCAAAGTGGCTGCTCTGTTGTGGCCTTTTCCACTGTTAATACGTTGGCTCAGCAGAGCTAACTGTGGTCAGTTAAAAGCCAGGTCCAGACTAAGGAGGAAACAAAGCTGTTTGTCATGACAGACAAGTCATGAATCACACAAAATGAAGCCCCTCTGGTCGCAGCCTTTAGAATAATGAAAACGTCTAGTGTTATGTAAATGTGTGAAAATTCCAATGAATATGAGATAAAGCATATGCTCTCATATTGTTTCTCTTTGTTGCCTGTTTCTCTCTCTGTCGTATCAAGTCTAAACGGCAGTCATGTTAATATTGCCATCTGGTGTAGCATTAGGTGTAAATAGTTGATAAAGCCTGTGAAATGTGTTGCCAACACCTTTTTCACTATAAACACAAGTTATGACCCCCAAGGATTTTAAGATATCTGAACAGTATGTGAGTCCATTTGGTCAAAGACACTTATATAACTGCCCTGTTTTCAGAAACTGATATTATTCGAGGTTTGACAAGCAGACAAATGCAACTCAGAAGGACTGAAAGTGATTACTGTGGAAAACCGAGTCCTTCATGATAGTGATTCATGCTGTTTGGAAGGCATTGCATGCTGGTTTTCAGAGAAATGGCTTCTAGACTTGTTGAATTGCTAAGAAATTCCAATTTCTGCTTCTAATACCTCAGCACGCCCAGTTCACAGAGGCAACAGCTTTGTTGGTCAGCTGAAAGAATGAAGCTGTTTACATAATGCCTGTTGTACTGCTGTCCATGTAAATGTAGTCTGCATGTCATGTGTTGCTCATCACTGTCTTACTTTGTTTGACAGAATGTGTACATCCGTGGCATTTGAACAGGCCAGCTCCCGTGTGTGTGTGACATTTGTTTGCATCCTTGTATTTGCAGGCATGTGGGCTAGCCTGCGCTCCAGCAGCAGACTCAGCCAGCACCCACTGGCAGCAGACGTGGGTGCCAGACTAGCAGGGAAGGATCTGGCGCCCCCTGCAGGTAGCAGCAGTCTGCAGGCTCAGCTCCTCAAACAGCAGGCTGCCTTCTACGTTTTTGGAGAAAAATCGCATCTAAGGGTGAGAATGGGAACAAAACTGCTCTCTGAGGCCTGAGAGTCCATTTTGTTATGAATTGTTGTAGTGTATTATTGTAAATCTACACCCCACGGCCACTTTATTAGGTACACCTGTGCAAACTAATGCAATTCAAAACAGCTATTGTGTATACTGGACTGTCTCATGTATGTAAAGAGGGAAGCCAAAAGTTATGAAAATCTCTCAATATAATACAGTTAAGCTTTTAACTGTGACCTCAGTAATAAATATATCATTTAATTTACACATTTATGATGCCAAAAAATGAGCATTATACATTTTGTAAAGATTGAATTTATGGCAGAGCTGATGTGTTGAATTGCAATAGACTCTACAGGTGTACTTTGTAAAGCTTAGTGTGATTTAGAGTTGTAAAACACCAGCACAATATGTAAGTACTGTACAGACTTATAAGCACAGCCAAAACATGTATAAAAGTATTATATAGCAAAAAACTGTTATATATATATATAATTTGGTTGTTTTGAATGCATCCATACTTGAGTAAAAGATACAAATTAAAATACTATGACGTGTTGGTTCAGGGTTGGATAATTAGTACAATTAGAAGTCATAATCTTCAGAACCAAGATTAGGGGTGTAATGGATACAGTTCGGTATTTACTTCTGTTTTGGAGTCAAATAAATTAGATAAAAAAATAGAATACTGCTGCAAACTACTCCTGCTAAGTACTCCAGTAACACGCAACGGCCTGGATTTTATGCCCATTCAAGGAGATCCTTAAACTATCACATAATACTTTATTTTGTTAGAAAAAAGTCTTGCAAGCGAGAGTTTGCGAGACGTGTATAAACCGAGTTTCTTCTGCTAGTACTAAAACATACGTACACCTAATTTTTTTAGCTTTAAGTCGACGTCCAAAGGTGACGAAGCTTTTTGCTCTGCTGCTGCCAGACTGTGCAATAGTTTACCCCCTCATGGCTTTTTGTAATGTATTTATTGATGGGTTATTGTATTGCCTTATCTAACATCATACACGTGTTTATATTTTTTATTCCAGTGTTAATTAAATAGCTTAGATTTTCACAGCCTCACCCAGTACCTGGTCTCTGTTTTGACAGGGCCTCAGAGTGGACTCCTCTCTGAACTGTGAACTGGTGCCAGTGGACTTTGCAGACACGCGGCAGGTGAAAGCTTCTTTTAAAAAGTTGCTGAGGGCCTGCGCTCCCAGTGCCACCCCATCTGACTCGGAGGACTCCTTTCTCAAGACCTTGGAGGACTCTGAATGGATCCTGCAGGTGACAAAATACATAAGCAGCACTGTTTCTCACTCTTACAGACTGATTCAGTCAGCTTTTGTGAGAATGTCCCAGCAGTCTAGTCTTACTGCTCATCCTGTGTATCAGGTTCATCTAATGGATAAATCCACTCTGAGGCTATTTTCCCATGGGAAACAGATGAATAATGATGGGATAACAGCAGATGCCTTATCTTGCCAGTTATCGTAGTGACCTTCTGCAGCCTTTGTCCTTACACTGAACATTATATGTGGCTTTCTATGTAACAAGCCATTCTTTGCGAGTAATTTACAGATTGACTAAGCATGGTAATGCATGCACAGGGAGAATTAATTATGTGTGTGTCTTTGTGTGTAAATATATTCACATGAACTTATGCTGATCTCCCACAGATTCACAAGATCCTGCAGCTGGCGCTGTTTTTGGTGGAGCTCCTGGACAGTGGTTCATCTGTTCTCCTGAGTCTGGAGGACGGCTGGGACATTACTACACAAGTGAGAAAAATACACAAATACCTTTATGAATAAACACACAAGTAAGAGAACAGAGCAGAAGAGATTAAGCACAGCATCTAGACCAGAGAACAGCCAGAGGTTCAACATGGTGCTGGTTTTCAGTTTGTGTATAAAACATACCTGAAGTGAAATACAGCACATTAAAACATTCATTCATTCATTCATTTTCCACCGCTTAATCCTTGAACGGGGGCGCGGGGGGGCCAGAGCCAATCCCGGCCGGCAATCGGGCGAAGGCGGGGTACACCCTGGACAGGTCGCCAATCCATTGCAGGGCTCACATTAAAACAAATGATAAATATTACAAATTACTTCAGGTCTTACATTTGGCAGGAAACCTGGCAAAATAAAAAAAATAAAGAAAGAAAATTTGCTGATGGAAATGCTGATAAAGCAAAAATATAGTTGATGGAACGTGCACTGATTCTCATTTTACTGTACTGGCATTTTAAAAATAAGATAAAATGTGTATTTTAGGCTTATAAATATATTACAAAACATGAGTTATGGACAGAAAATAGTTGATACTTGTTTAAATTATGAGTAACTTAACAGTTGCATATCACTCCCCATGTTCACTTCACTAAAGCAAAGACAGTCAAATCAACAAATATAAAAAGCCCAGTCAAGATTAAAAGAAGCATATAAAGAAATAAAAAAAAAAATGTTTAACAGGCGAATGCTTTTGACACACAGGACTTTGTTCTGACAGATGTTTAGACATAGTGAGACTGTTTGGTGTAACTGTACTGAAACTGTTGAAAGAGCTGCCCTGTCCCCCTTCATTATTCCAATGTCATGTACTGAGACTGAAGCAAAGACAAGTAACTTGAAATAGTTTAAATTCGAGCTTTTAGGGATTCTCCACAGACCCCTCCGACAGCCACATAAATCAGGCACACCTGACCACACCTGCTCTCCGTGCTCATCTTCTAATCGGTTATGTCACTGTCAACCTGATTATGCAGGATTAAATTGCACGGTGGCACAGTGGTTAGCGCCGTTGCCTCACAGCGAGAAGGTTCCAGGTTCGGGCCCCACCCGCGACCCTTCTGTGTGGAGTTTGCATGTTCTCCCCGTGCTTGCGTGGGTTCTCTCCGGGTACTCCGGCTTCCTCCCACAGTCCAAAGACATGCAGCTTAGGTTGATTGGTGTCTCTAAATTGCCCATAGGAGTGCATGTGCGTGTGTCTGGTTGTTCGTCTATGTGTTAGCCCTGCGATGGATTGGCGACCTGTCCAGGGTGTACCCCGCCTTCGCCCGATTGCTGTCCGGGATTGGCTCCGGCCCCCCCCGTTACCCCGTTCAGGGACAAGCGGTAGAAAATGAATGAATGAATGAATAAATTGATAATAGATAGGTCTGAAGTCACTGTTTTGAGCTGTTTCCGGTCTCGAAGGTTCATGGATTCTAAGGCATGTAAACAATAGCCTGGTTTGATCCTGATCAGTTTTCCCTATCCGTTCGCTGTTATTCTCAGCATTTCTTCACATGTTTGGCCTATGAGCTCATATTTTCCATGTTGACCTGTTAAAGTGCACATGTTTGTGTTGCAAGCATGTGTGTCCTTCAGGAGTGTTTATAGGGTGTGTAGATCCCTGGGCTGCTGTTTAAAAGCACACTTTGTGGATCCCTTATGCCAGGCATGTGTTCAACCCAGAGCATCTCTCTTCATGGGCCACCAGCTCCATCACGCCAGGTCCCGATCAACCCGCGCAGGCAAATGGGCTCCATATGCTCTGGCTCTCCTGCCTGTGTCCGTGGACTATAGACACCCCACAGACAGGACTCAGAACTGTCTCTGTTTCTCCTTCTCAGCCACAGTCTAGCCCACTGCCTCTCCCACTTCAATCTACTCTCCTCTTTCATGCCTCGCTTCTTTCTTATGTCCACTCTTCAGTCTGCTCTAGTCCCGCAGTAATCTGAGGGGTTTATTTCAGTGCCGGAGCACAGGGGGCCTTTTTTTGAGGGTTGGATGTTCTTGTAAACCCCACGGGGAAGCCACGGACTGTTTTTCCTGCTCATTCCACACGCGTCAGGGCTCATTAACTGTGTTGGAGGAGACACGGGTACGGAAGCAGGCCAAGCATATCGCATGTGTAGACAAGTGGTTCTCAAATGGTGCTTTATGGACTGAGCTCAAGTGCGCCTGAAGACTGCTGAAATGTTATATAAATGCTATTGCTAGCAGATGATCAATTAAACATCGTTACAAGATGGGTCTTTTAAAATAGTTGCATTCAACTTTTACAGCGGTGCAAAATATGGGCTGAATCATAATCACACATGACAAATAGAAAACAAAGTGTGCAAAGTGGTGGTGAAACTGCTGCTACTTTCTTTTTGCTTTAGTGGTAAGACGATCAAACAACACATCTTCCAAAGTATCTAGGGTTTTCAACTCTGTATATTTAACATGATGAGAGGTATCATATTGAACAGTGATTAAATAGTTTCCAGCTACAGCTGCAGAAACTAAACCCCACCAGTATGTTGGCAAAAATATTATACTGGACAAAATTACCAAATTGTATTTGTGAATATGTGGCTGATAAGTAACAAGAAACTGCAGTACCAAATGTATCTTTTAGGTCATTTATAGGTCTGTGTTACACACTGTAATTTGTAATCAGAAGGCACTGAAAAGTACATTTTCACAGTGAAATGTTCGGCACAGTACACATCTTAGTTATGATTTCAAATAACCAAAACAAATGTTTTCTTATAGATTAATGAATAAAAATGTAATGTATGTCAGCATATGGTTGATATTTTAAACTCTAAGATCAATATCTGTCATTTAGATTCATATCGATGTTGACATCCCCATTAGAAAATGTGCAGTATGTATTTCCTTTTTTCATACTTTTCATTGGGTTTTCAAATCTGAAAATGTAATTTAGAGCATGGAGTGTGACATCCAAACCGAACCCAAGCCCAGCACAGTTGAGTTTGTACAGTGTTTCCCTTTATCATTAAAGAAAGCAGACCTTTGAATCCTCCAGCTGTCTAGTCCAAAGTTTGACCTGCGTGTCAAAACCTGGCCCGGACCTGAACATAATTTCTAAATTTCTGTCCAAAATTGGCCAAAACCCTCAGGTACCACTGGGTTCTGTCAAGCTCGGTTCAGATATCCACACTCTAATGTGACGGTAGTAGAATAACAATAAAACATCCAACCCACCAGTACCCTGGATCTGTCCATATTTGCTGAATGTAAATGATCACAGTTTCTCACAAAATCAGGAAAATTTTTGCCAAAAATATTTCTTTAAAGTCTCAAAATGTCGACCACAGTATGAAGCCATGTATTTTTGTTTAAAACAAACTTTGTTAGTATTTACATGGATTTGAGTACTAAAGCAAACGTGCAGTTAGGAGAAATGTACAGAACACGAGTAACTCTTTTTTGTTAACGGATGTTTATTACTGTGTTTCTAAGGATTGACATGAACTGTGACACATCAAATACTCACTTTTCTTTTGGTTTTTGTCTTTGCAGGTGGTGTCTTTGGTGCAGCTGCTGAGTGACCCATTTTACCGGACTCTGGAGGGTTTTCAGGTGCTGCTGGAGAAAGAGTGGCTGTCCTTTGGCCATAAGTTCAGCCAGAGGAGCAACCTGAATCCCAGCAGCCAGGGCAGCGGCTTTACACCCATCTTCCTGCAATTCCTGGACTGTGTGCACCAGGTGAGGTTTATCTCCAAGACCCTCACTACCACAGGTATTCTGTACACTCAGGGATTTCTGTCCCTGCTGCGTGACTTCTCTCCACTTTCCCTCCGTGACTTAAGGTCATTCATTCCATCTTTATCAGGTCAACACATTCCTCTCAAGTGAAAGGGTGAAGAGAGCAAGAAATTCAGCTGTCATTATCAATTCATTTGGTTCAGTTTTACATTTCTCAACACTGGATATGCAGTTTCAACAGCGTGTTGCACCAGAGAGTGTGCAAGGAGGCTGCCGCCCAGATGGTCCATGATCCCAGTGTTCACCGCTGAGCTGTTTGTGCTTGCGTGTTTCAGCATCCCTTCACACTTCAGTCCGTGTTTGGAGCTACATGTGGAAAATTGCAGTTTGGGGGATTAAGAGTCTCTAGGAAAGCGTGGGTTTGCTTCAGGACTCATACAGCTAAGGTCCAGAGAACTGTGTCTGCTCTGAAATGCTAACTTTAGAGAATGTCATGGATTTTTGTGTCCCCTAGGGTCGTACAGACCCACTCCTATTCACTTACATCAACACATAGTTTCAGCATTTGTCTTTTGAAACTGTAGTCTTGGCAGCTAAGACCTTTTTGGCGGGGTTCCTGGGGTCTGGAGAGCTATAAACGTGGGGAGAGGGGATTCGGACAAGAGCTGAAAATAGAAGTGCCTCATCTCCAAAACAGCTGTTGTTTTTGCCAATAGACCCAGGTGGCCTCAAATATTCAACACTTCTGGCCTCCTCACACTACTGGATGGGAACAATGGAGCTGGAGTCCGGCTGGCTCAGTCTGGATTTTGTCTAACAGTGATGATTTCACTGACCTTTGCCCCTCCCCGCCCTGCTGAAGGACATGAGCGGCTCTTTCCTGTTTCTAATTGGTCATTTATGCTCAGGAGGGATGTGAAGCCACAACACGGTGCAGCTGTCACACGCACACTGATCTTCTCTCACTGTCCCTAAGTGTCTTCATCCATCTTTTCATGTCTTTGCAGATTCTGGAGCAACACCCTCTGGAGTTTGAGTTTAATCAGTATTATGTGAAGTTCCTGGCCTATCATCACAACTCTAACCGCTTCAAGAACTTCCTGTTGGACTCAGACTATGAGCGCCTGGAACATGGTCAGTGTCCTTTACTGTTTAGTGTCTCTTAAATCCTAAATCATATAACACACAAATCCTTTTGTTGAATGACAATGTTTTTGACATCACTGTGAGATTAACTGGCCCATGTGCTGAGCAGAATCTCTTTTGCATTCTTTACAGGCTTGTTGTTTGAGGATAAAAGTGATAAGCAGGCCAAGAGAGGCATCTGTATCTGGGAGTGCATCAACAGGATGCACAGGAGGAGTCCCATCTTCTTCAACTACCTGTACAGCCCCTCAGAGAGTGAGGTGAGTGTTTTTGATCATTCAAGTCCTTCTCTGTGCTGTAGAGTGAGAGCTAGAATGTGCCGCTGACTAATAATACGAAGTCTGTGTTTCAAAGGAATCCATGCACCCTGTCAATGATAAAACATTTGTTTTAAAAGATGATTTGCCTGACTTGGCCGGTGTGAGTTGTTTGTGTCTTGCTGCTTGTGCTTTGGGAAACTTTTTTCTCCTTTGACTTAAGACAGAGGAACTTCAATTTCTTAAGATGATGAATTTTTATTCTAAGTTTCATTGTTTCATGAAAGACCTCATTGGTTATAGGAGGGAACAAAAGCCCAAAGTAGAGCTGAAGAAGTAAATAAACTCAATTTTAGTTTCATCACATGACGGCACTTTTTTTGCAGCAATTTGATTTTTGATAATTAAGGAATGACTCACTGTCCTAGCGGTTTTCTGACAGCAGCATCCTGTTACTAATTTCGGCCTTCTTTTGAAGGTTTTCAACGGTAATGATGTGTCATGTTTTCTGTTCAACTCCAGCTGTGTATAAACCAGTGAGAGGAGATTTTTCTGAGGCAGAACCACTGTCTAATGAGTTGCTCAATGCGAGACTCAAAGACGCTGAATAATCTTGTTGGAAATACACCATATAGGCCGTTGTGTCACACTGAACAAATTCTAGGCTTTTTTATTGTCACTGTAACATCTTGTATTTTATGTAACAGCCACTGTGCCACTACATCTGAGTCTCATTGCAACCTTTGTTGTGTAGGTGATCCTGAAGCCTTCTGTCAGCATCCCCAGCCTGAACAAATGGGACTTCTTCACAGATGAGACTCTGTCCACGGGGCCATGTTACGACTGGCGGACGATGGCAGTGAGGATGGAGAGCTCAGAAGAGGTGAACACCATCTCTAGCAGTAAAAGGAGGATTGTTTGGCCGTGTTACAGCAGCGTGAGCCACGCCCAGCCTGATGCCATCACCAAACTTCTGGCTGTAAGAGTTTGTAACAAAGATTTTGAACTTGACTTTTGAGCTGTATCATTTGTCACGTTGATCACCTTTCTTGGCCATCACTGGTGATGCAGGACATCGAGAAGCTGGAGGGGGAGCTGAACCAGGCTCCTGAGAAATGGCAGACAACTCTGGAGAGAGTCAGAATGAGCATTCAGGAAGACCTCAAGCAAGAAGGAAATGTGCGTGTTGGAGGAAAAATAGTAGAAATAGTCATATGCATAAAATCTCAGTTGTTAAATTGTGTGCAACTCTCTTTCAGTGTGTACTGTTCCCACTCATACTTTGTTTTCTTGTGTGTTTGCAGCTCTGTAAGCAGTCTGTGTCCATCTCCAGCCTCATTCCTACATCCAGCCTGCAGGCCTTCCAGCGGCGCTCCATGCTGCACCTGCCAGACAGCAGACTGGATGAGGACCGCAGCACCACCGCAGCCAACGGGATCAACCGCCGTGCCGCAACACTCTACAACCAGTTCACCCCCAAGACTGAAGAGAACAGGTGGGTTGTGCACTTCCTGAGTCCTGGAACAAATAAGAAGCCCACATTTGAGTCACTCACAATCTGCTGCTGCGGGGCCAGTCCACATTTGGATAATGAGTCAGCGCTGTGATATGCTGTGTGTGTCATGTTTCTAAAGCTCGTCTGTGCTCTGTTTAACTCCGGGTGTGTAACTGTACATTTTCTGTGAGGTTAAAGTACAGTCGCTTGGCTCTAATATTTGGATATTTTCCTTGGAGTCGCACAAACAGTGATTAAAATGTACTCTGTGTCAATTTGTTTTCTTGCATGTGTTTTTCACATCCAAATGTTTGACAGACTAAGGTTTAAACAGAGAACTGGTGAATCAGAAACACTTAAAGTGACTGTTTTCAAGCCTGCAGCATTGTATACTTGATAAATCCTTGGTAGATCATACAACAGACTGATTGCCAGCTTTACATCTTTCCTGCCCTGCAATGCAGCTATTGATACAGAAACACAAGTTGGACATGTTGAAGTGTCTTGATCGGTGTTTAAGGGGTTGAGACTGGTCAAATTAACACAGTATATCATATAAAACTGAGTCCCATTGCTTTGCAAAGGTTCGAATATGAGGGTGTAAACCTCAAGAAGAAAGCCCCTAGTCTTCAGTCTCACAGAGTAAGAACTACCCTCCTTTGGCCTTTTTATACTTGGGGAACAACGTAGAAACATGCTGCTCAGTTCTCCTGCTTTATCTTTCTGCCTTCTTCAATGCAAATGCTGCAACTGCCTCCGCTGAACTTTAGTAATGGAAAAATCAAATGTTTAGGGAAAGTAGAGTCAAAAGTTGGATATGGCACTGTGGTATTTTTCAGGTCTTATGAGGGGATCCTATATAAACGTGGTGCGTTGCTGAAAGGCTGGAAACCTCGCTGGTTTGTTTTGGACATTACCAAACACCAGGTGAGTATGATGCACTGCATTTAAGAAACACTAAACCCTTACCCGAGTGAAAGGCTGCAGGTTAATGTTCCCGTCTTCACAGCTGAGGTACTACGACACCGGAGAGGACACGAACTGCAGAGGCCACATCGATCTGGCAGAGGTGGAGTCCGTGGTCATCGCTGCACCGACTTTAGGAGCTCCCAAACACATTAGCGAAAAGGCATTCTTTGATGTGAGTAAACCTGAATGTCACATTTCTCGTGTTTTTTTCGTGAGCTTGTTGTAAGTATTCTGAAAACACATTTACTGTCTGATCTCCAGGGCTCAGTTGTTCATAAACTTTCATCTAGATCAGAGTGAGCCCATGCTTTGCTGCGATCAGATTACTTGTGAACAACTGGCTCCTGGATTTCCTGAGTAGTTTACAATCTGTAGCTGACTTCTCCTGCTTTACAAATGTTTTTTTAGAAAAATGTATGAAATAACCAGGAAAAAAGAGCTTTGCTATGTGATCACTGAAAAAAAAACAGTAACAAATGTATATTCAAATACTGTAAATGACAATTTATAATATTGGCATTTATATAAATTCACAAGTAAAATTCACTTTTCATAGCTGTATTTTGCTCCAGGAAAAAAACAATAGACCAAACCAGTGCATTTGCATTAACCTGTGATAATGGGCAAGTTTGGTTCTGGTGACATTGCTTCTAATTAACAACTCTGTTTCACGTAAACATGCTCGTAGACTGATAGGAAACCCCAGACTTAACAGAACCAGCTGCTAAATGGCTTAATGGTACTGGTTATAAAGGAGGCCAACGTTAGGCTCAGCGAAGCCAGATAAACCCAAGTTAGCCAGACTGTTGAACTCGCTTTGTGGTACAGACCTCTGAATGAGGCAGCTCTAAGTATTGATAAAAACAAAGTGCAAAAGAAACGGGCTTGGTGAATAAATCATGACATTTTGACACTCAAATTAATGACATAAAACTGCTGTATTTACATCATGTGTTCTACAACTGTTGCTCTTTTATTCCTCTGCAGTGGTTTAATGGCACCGTTTGTCTCAGTGAACTCCTCCTGGATGGAAACATATTAATCAGCTTTTTTTCTTTTGCTGATTTTCTAGATATACGATTAAAATTTGCACTAAATTTGGATGAAATCTGGCTGGTGGTTTTCCCTTCTGCGGCCCACATTTAACTCTTATCTGATGCCTTTCTAGCTGAAGACCAGTAAGCGAGTCTACAACTTCTGTGCTTCAGATGCACCCAGCGCTCAGTCGTGGATGGACAAGATCCAGAACTGCATTTCTGATGCCTGAACACCAACTTTAACGTCATATCATTAGAGGCAGCATCAGGCGGCTGAGAGCAGAGACATCTTTAATTTGGAGACCACACTGAACAAAGTGCCTGGTAGTGGAGGGTGAGTACTGTCCACCCACCCTTCTGCCTGTTACTTGGCAGCTGCTCAGACTTTTGTCACTCTGCTCAAGTCGGAGCTGGTTGAACACACTCGTCTCTGCTGTTAGCTCCCTCCTCTGTGCCTCTGCCAGGAATGAAGTGAAGATAAGCTGTTGTTTAAGGAGACTGCACTAGGGAATGATACACTACTTAAGCTGTAAATAGATCAGAGCAATATCACTGGCCATTCAAACTGGGTTCAATGTTACACTTTGAAAATATAGAAAATAGCCTATAAAAGAATTTCTATCAGATATTTTACTATGAGGAAAGGTTATTGCTGCTTAAAGAAATGTATGAACCATCAAAAACACAGATTTGAATGCACAACATTAAAAAGCAATTTGTTTGCACTTATCTCTGAAGTATGCACTCCTTCTCAAATATAGATTTTCTAGCAAATGCAGACAGCGAGACTAAAGGCATTACTTTACATTGTACATATGTTTTCTCAAGACAGATTCAAGGAAAGAATTTGTACATTGATTTATCTGACACATTTCTATTTAAATAAGTGGTGTTTTCTCTATTTTGATAAATGTTTGACTTCTGGATAATACGTTTGTCTCCTGTAAATTATTTTTATTAAAGATGTAACTGTTAAATGTGGTGGCTTCATGTTTTTCCTGTAAATACATGTGACATTTTGTATACCATATGTATTGAACATACATAAATGTACTTTTCTAACGTTGATTCTAATGTGACCAACAAGTCTTTAATGTGTTGTTGCAAAAACCCGAGGCCTGTTCCCTGTCAGTGATGAAACTGATTATTTTGTTGTTGTTGTTGTTGACTGTCTAGGCTCTGTGTCTTAAGGGCTTTTAAAGAAATTAGCATGTATGTCATGTAGGATACTGTGGTTTTCAGAAATCATTTGTTCTCTGTTTGTGCACCTATACAATTTCATTACAAACCAACAACACAAGTCAAACTATTCAAAGATTTCAGATGATTTTTGTTACTGTATCTTTGTACCTTGTTTTGTGGTGACACTAATTTTTTGAAATAAAATACTTGAAACTACTGCTGGCCTGTTTTCTTGCATTACTGAGTGAATTTCAAAAGGTTTTCTCATTTACTGGTGCGAAGTGACCATGTGAGGCTGCTGGAGCCCTGCCCAATGTGACCAGTGATGACATGTTTAGCCCCATGTCGTCATTAACCGGCTCTCATATCTAGAAATCTGAACGAGTTTATTTTACAACCTAAATTGTGACAACCCAGAGTTAAGACCAGGACGCAGGGTCGCGGTCTTACACGCCTAAATGTCTAAGTCTCTGTTAGTGAATGATTTGATACTTTAGATGACATAGCTCTTGCCTCCAGTAGTACTGTGAGGAACCTTGGAGTCTATTTTATCAGGATATATCCTTTAAATCATCAGTCTCTAGAACTGCGTTCTTTCACCTGTGATGCTGAAAAACTGGTCCATGCATTTGTTACTTCCAGGCTGGACTACTGTAACTCTTTACTATCAGGATGTCCCAATAATTCCCTAAAAAGCCTCCAGTTAATCCAAAATGCTGCAGCCAGAGGACTGACAGGAACGAGCAAGAGAGATCATATCTCTCCCATATTAGCTTCTCCCCACTGGCTCCCTGTAAAATTCAGAATAGAATTTAAAATCCTTCTAACATACAAAGCCCTTAATGACAAGGCTCCATCGTAGACCTCGTAGAGCCTTATCATCCTAACAGAGCACTTCGCTCTCAGAGTGCAGGTTGAGCCTTCCCTTAGTTATGCTGCTATAGGCCTAGGCTGCTGGGGGGGTACCATGATGCTCTGAGTTCGTCTTCTTGCATCTACAGTATATGCCACCATTACATGTCACTAACTTTGTCCTTTCCCTCTCCCTGTACCTTTCTGCAGGTTGCCCTGGCTCTGGACCGTTATGTTTTTGATGAGCAGTCACCGGCCACATCAAGCTGCCTGGTGCTTGATTTCTTGTTGTGTCTTGTTGCTTTTCTTTTCTCTCTCCTCTATCCACTCACCCCAACTGGTCAAGGCAGAAGGCCGTCCACCAGGAGTCTGGCTCTGTCGGAGGTTTCTTCCCTTAAAGGGAGTTTTTAATAATAGTAAGGTCCAGACCTTGCTTTGTAAAGTGTCCTGAGGCGACTTTTGTTGTGTTTTGACACTATACAATTAAAATTGAATTGAAGTTGAAATTATGTTTTATACACTGACAGCCACCCCAACTGGTCAAGGCAGAAGGCCGTCCACCAGGAGTCTGGCTCTGTCGGAGGTTTCTTCCCTTAAAGGGAGTTTTTAATAATAGTAAGGTCCAGACCTTGCTTTGTAAAGTGTCCTGAGGCGACTTTTGTTGTGTTTTGACACTATACAATTAAAATTGAATTGAAGTTGAAATTATGTTTTATACACTGACAGCCACTTTATTAGCCACACCTGTACATCTGTATGCACTTCAATGAAACACTTCTGCCTTAACATCTGTGTTCATTAAGCTCAAAATGTTTCAGTTTTTGGTGAAATTGTCATAAGTGTATAAATTCAATTATATTGTATGTTTATGATTAAGATCATAGTTAAAGGTTGTGGTGTACATGACTACATTACATTCAGAGGTGTTCCTAATATATAAAAATATAGACGCACCTCTGAATGTAATGTAGTCCAGTACAACACCACCTTTAACTGTGACTTCAATAATAAACATATAGCTGAATTTAAATGTTTAAGACAATTTAACTAAAAACCAAGACGCAGAGCTTCATAAACACAGATGTTAAGGTGGAAGTGTTACATTGAATTGTATACAATTGTACAACTGAACCTTATAAAGTGGCCAGTCAGTGTATATTTAGAACTGCAGTAACTGGCTGACAGAAAATGAATCCACTATTTTCCTAAAAAAAAAAAAAAAGTTAAATCAGTTTTTGACATTTTTTTTTGTCAAAAAACAATTGGTTGTGGTTTCAAGTGTGATGATTTAATGTTTTTTATACAACTGTATTTACTGCACATCTCTGGACTGTTGGTTGAATAAAAAAAATAAAAAAAACCATCTGAATGCATCTCCCTGGGCTGTGAGAAATATTCACTATTTTAAAGACCAAACAGTTAATTGTGGAAATATTTAGCAGATTCATCGATCATGTAGATAATTTAGTTTCATGTTTTACCCATTCACTATAAATCACCTACAATACAAGTGCTTGGTGGGTGGCCGTGTTGTTGGACAAGAGCCATTTTCGATGCTGGAAATTCTACACTAATTTCCTCCTGAAATCAGAAAAGGGCATTGCTTGGTGCCTGTTCAGTAGGCACATTTCAAAAGTAACTTTCCCAACACGGTCATGATGACTCGTTTATCACAGAGATAACCAAGTAGTAGCCTACTGGCTGCGGAAAGGTAGGCTTGGACCAACCTCGTCTTCCCACAGCCAGTAGGTTTTGGAAACATCTGAAGTTTAAATTGGTATATGACAAGTTTAGCAAAATATTGGATAGTCAAATTTTCTGCCATGGGCTGGCTATTAGTGAGTTATTAATTAGCCACTAGTTTAGTAGATGTGTAGTATGACACAGGGCTGCAACTAATGGATATTTTCTTAATTGGTTAATCTAGAAACTAAAAAGGCCAGAAAATGATACATGTTCATTCTGTGGGGCGGCTGTGGCTCAGGAGGTAGAGCGGGTCATTTCCTAACTGGAGGATTAGCGGTTCGATTCCCGGCTTGTCCAGGCAACATGTCGAGGTGTCCTTGAGCAAGACACTGAACCCCCAGTTGCTCCCGGTGATGTCACCGGCGTGTGAGTGCTTGGGAGTGCGAATGGGTGAATGGCCAAATAATGTGAAAGCTTTGAGTGTGCTGTAAAAGCATAGAAAGGTGCTATACAAGTATAAGACCATTTAACATTCTAGTTCCCCACAGACCAAGCTGATGTCTTGTATTGTATGAGCATCAATCCAAAGTTTACCATCTTCATATTTGAGAAGCTTAAAACCACAGATAGTTGTCCTTACACCTCTCCCTTCTACTGGTCTGAAATATTGTCATCTTAGCAGCATGACTCAAGGGAGGTTGGTGTTAGTCTGCCAGTTTGGTTTGAGAGTATAAATGATCTGAATGGATTAAATTCATGGCCCACAAAGGATAGTCCAGTGGAATTTGATGACCCCAAGTCTTCCTCTAGAGGCACAAAGAGGTTCATATTTGTGCCTTTGGGTGACTAAAACTACTGGATGAATCATCTTCTTGTTGTTAACACATGGCAATTGATTGCCAGCAAATTTGGTACAGACGTTCATATTCCCCTCAGGATGAGTCGTAATATATTTGGTGATCTTCTGACATTTCCTCTAGGGCCAGTCTCGTGTCAAAATGTGTTCCCCCTCGAAATGTGTTCCCCCTGTTACAAACTTGTTTCAAGTAGTGCCTCCCTCAGTGGTTACGGTTAAGATGTTAGGGGAAATTCATCTCGATGGAAAGATACATTTTGACATCAGGTCCAAACCTTTATGATTGAATATCTCCAGCACTAATCACATTGCCATCAGCCTCAGCTGTACTTTGCACTTAGTGGTAATTAGCAAATGATAGCATGCTAACACACTAAACCAAGAGGGTGAGCATGATAAACACCTGCTAAATATTAGCATGTTATCATTGTTATTCTGAGTGTTAGCACTGAGTTCACAGTACAGCCTCACAGAGCTGCTAACATGGCTGCAGAGTCTTAGTCTTGATGCAAAAGCGGTCACAGGATACAGGAAGAAATCTTAAACCGTTTGTAATTGCCATGTTTTTCTTGCCTCTTAGGGACACCTCATCTCAGTGAAAGGTAATCAGACACCACTGCAACTTTTTTGCTCAGAGCCAACACCAGAGAGGATGATGAGTGTCTCACTTGCCAGCAATGAATATAGGCCCGGGACACAGCCCCATCTCAGGCTCTGTGGCGCCTGGTTGGCGGCACTGAACAGGACTCCTGTGAAGGTTTGTTTCTGAGAGGGAAAAGAAGAGGGGGGGGGTTTTTTGGGGGGGGGGGGGTCTCCCAGCAGGCTTGTATTGGCAGCAGGTACAGAGCTGCAGCAGGCCAACATCTGGGCAGAGCCTCCGGCAGTTCCCTCCGGATTTAGCCTGTTGCTTTAGGTACGGGGATTAGACAGTCTGCCCACAAACAGAGGGATACAGCAGAAGTTATCCAGCAGGATTGTGTGGAATGATAGGAATCATTTCCTCCATAGACAGAAATGGTGGGTTTACTCGACAGCCACTGCACTGACCGGATCATACCGGCTTGGTGCAAATAAGTTGTATACAAGTTCTACGAATTAAAAGATTTGTTATGTTACATAATGCTACATTACTGCCTCTACAAGTGATGTCTTCTCTAAAGTTTAAGACAAATTACTGATGAAAGTATCTATTATCACCAAGAACAGCAGTGTTAAAAATGTGGTCCAAGTGTAATGTGTAACTTGGATAAAGGCTGCTCTGGACTACAGTATGATTAGTCTTGGCTGGAGGCATGCTGCTCTCACATAAAAAGGCCAATTCAAAAGGAGTCCATAAAACCCCATTTGCACGTATCTGTTGGTTTTGGATCCCAAACTCTTCATGTAGAGTCACAGCTGCAGTAAAGGCTTCTTGTCCAAGAAAGCAGCTAAAATAATAAGCCGAACGGCCTTTCCACAGGCCCCAAAACTACTCCAGTGACAGACAATGTTGATTTATTTTATTGATCCTTCAAATCCTATTATCAACGAGGTTGCATGATTGCAGGCTGTGCAGTAGTTTTCACTTCCTGGGTGCCTCTGCTGCGTGGGCACTGCTGAGTCACTGCTGCTGGGGGCCCTTTTGCCTCTGGGCCCTGTGGCCCCTCAGCAGCTCCAAAACCGGTTGCATAAACACTAAAGGCTGATGTCAGTGTCTTGACACATTGTCGAGTCCCACCCTTGGAATTAGGATGATGTCAGCTGCCTGCAGCACATGGGGGTATAGCTGAGTGACTATCAAATACATGAATCACATCCAGATGATCTAATGTGGGCACCGCCGCTCATGCATGAACCAAAAGCACATTGCATGTTTGATTTAAAAGATAATAGTGGGGATTTCTAAAGTTTGTGTTAATGTGTTTCCTTGCCCACTCGCAGCTGTTTGTCTGAGGTCCTGATATGTCTCTCTCCATGTAAGCACCCTGCAGTCTTGCGCAGCTAAACCTGGACTTCATTCAATCATGTGAAATGCTCAGGGCTGTGAGGTCACTGTGGGAAGTCATCGAACCCAGAAAACAGGCATCTGCTAGATGTTTTTTCACCAGCCGACGATCCCAAAAAATGCTCCCGTTTCAAATCAATTTCGATGAGGATACTTTGGACAGGAATCAGATGAACTGGTTACGAGCATTAGGGTGCTTTTCGGACACACTGGGTGGGAGTGAGACAGCCGGAAAGATCCTTATTTTTGAAATATTGAGGACTTGTGCAATTTAGCTGTGGAGAAAGAATCTCCCAGTTCCGAGAATACTTATTACACGTTTTTCTCAGATTCTGGGATATAAATACCTCGTCTAGAAGAAATGTGAACAGCAAATATATTTATCAAACACCAGATTAAAAATTCAAGACAAATACTGCAATGAAAATTCAGAATGCCATCAACCATGGGCGGTTTCTTCAACTCTTTCTGAATATTTCTTTATCTTGTGTGTTAAATGTTGTCTTGCTTCACCAGTTAAAGAACCAATCAATCATTTGAACAAAGATGTGCCTAAAACAAGAGGCTATGTGGATTTCATGATCCTTGGTAGTGAACCACATTCCTGGTTGCAGTATTAAAGCAGAAATTTGGATAATCTGTCTATATATCTGATCTTATCAGTAAATCACCGGTATAAAGGGATCTGCATGGTGCTGACTTTGTCTGAATGCATGTTCTTATCTCTTCTCCTGCTCTGACAACTATGAACTCAACATGAACCGTCTCCTTCCTTCCAGCTCCCCTCACAAAGAAAGGCAAATTACGATGGTCTGAGACTTTTTACATCAGGGAGTGAAGACACTCATTGTGTGGCCTGGCTGGCAGACACGAGACAAGACCCACAGCTGAGAGTTTCACCCAGTTACAATGTCCCTGTAATGTCTTCTCTTTTTTCACTGAAACCTGAAGGTGAGGGAGACAAAGGTGAGGTGTATGTGTAAGAACAGGGGCCCCTTTGTTGCACAAACTGATTTGTTTTGACATTGAGATGCAGCAAACAGACCTTGCTGCTGCACATCACGTGCATCAGGCATTATTCATCTTGCTTTCTTGGATCAGTGCTGTCAGTTGTACAACACATACAAACAGGCAGGTAACTAAGGATACACAGATGCAACCTTTTCTTTCCGACATTGATTGCACATAATAAGAGTGTTTGCTCACCCAAATCAGTGTTTCCTTGGACACTACTGGTCAAAGGTTTAAGAACACCTCATTGTTCCAGTTTTAGTGACAGCTTAAGTCCAGCGAACTGTACAAAGCTAAGAAATAAACTGCCAGAGGTTAGAAAGATTCACCAAAAACAACAAAATGATGTAAACTTCATGTAAAACAGGCCTTTTCAGGGATCAAGTAACAGGTTAACTTCCATCTTTCCTGCAGCAGTGGAAGTAAATAAAACTTTGATGCAAACAATTCTTCCAACTTTTGATTACATACCACAGCAAATTCTATCTGAACAAAGATCATGTTACTACATGCTCAGAAGCATTATTTGGATAAAGGCAACGAACAAAGGAAGTCAGACCTTTTCAGGGTTTCATCCTATAGCAGGGGAATGCCAGCTTTACATGGTTGACTGGCAGCACAGTGTAAGACTTTCCAGATAGAGTGAAAGCAAAGCAACCTACAAGTGTAACACGTTTGTTGGAACTCTAAATTATGTTTGATTTCAGCTATAGAAAGAATGTGTTTGACTGTTGAATTACATTAATAACTGCAAAAATGGAGGTGATCTCAAACTTTTGACCAGTAGTGTATTCAGTTCAAATTGCCACACATCAGCACAGGGAAAAAGATGTGCATAGGTTTCATCTATGTGTGTAATAGTTCTTCAGTTTTTTTGAGCCTGTCCTTTTAACTTTACACCAATAATGAGTGTAAATAAATGCGCAAAGTAGTTCCCTATAAGAAGCATCCTCGGGTGTGCCTCTCTGGAACCTCACAAGGCTCCTGACAATATTCAATCCTAAAATCAAACATACATACACTCACTGACTATATATAAACTCCAAAATCACAGCTCACACAAGTAAGCAATTCATCTGGATCAAACAGGTGATTCTAAAATCTATATCCAACTGATGTAGACTACAAAAATAACTACAGGACAGATTTCTGTGGTAACAGTGAAAACAAATCAATTGTCAGAGGTCATTATGGAAGGTAAAACACTGTGTTTATTAGCATTTCATTTGAAAATCCAATAGGTTTCACATTGTAGTAGTACATTTCTAGATTACCACCACCTCTTTGTGGCTGCAACACACAGGTCAGTAAACAGTAACAACAGCATTTCTCATTGCTGATTTATGTTCTGAAATTCTAGTTCCTTGTGATATTTGTTCTACATAGATTTTTGATTTAACTGAATAGCGTCACAGGCAAAATTGACTCATCTTTGAAAGTTTTCTTCTGTATCGCAAATCCTCTTTATCCTAGAGACCAGGCTTATGGGTCAACTTTCTTCAGTTGTGCTAATGTAGTGTTTTTAACCATTATACTCCAAAGCCTTGTCTGGTTTTAAAAGCTGTACATCTAAGAGTAAATACAGCTTTTACTCTTTTCCACTGTAAAGAAGATATACTTTAGAATTTAAGTGTCATTTTGATTGTACTCTGAACCATAAAACCATCATCAGTATATCTTTTCTGATATTTAACAAGACCCTTGAAGGGATTATTCTTCTAAATGTGATCTACAGCTCAAACCTGAAGGACAAAGGTTGAAAGGACTGTTACAAACTAAAGAGAAGCACAGCTGGAACATCTTTCTCCCTGTGCTAAAATGTGGCAATGTGAACTGAAAGCAAGGAAACATTTCATTGATTTGGGTGTGCAAAACTCTTTGTGCTCTGGATCTTGACTTTGGTTACACTGTACACCACAAACACACACACTCCATCACCACCACCCCTTTTTGTCTTTGGGTGCAGTGATCTTTACTTCTCCAATCTGCCCGTGACTAACCTGACACCGTTGTTTTGTTCTTCTAAAATTTTTAATTTCAAACTACACTGCGTCAAACTTATTGGAATCATTTTTATGTAAAGTAACATGATGCCAGGGCGGGCTGTGGCACTAAAAGCTGAGCTGGAGAACCACTGACAGTGAGTGAGTCAACGTATCGGACACTCTTTAATGTGGTTTGGTCATGTTGAAGCTGATTCATGGGATTTGGTCATAACAGGAAAACAAGAGAATACAACAGCGTCATTCTTTAAGGGTGGAGTTGATAATTCATTTAAAAATTTCAGAAAGCGCTGTGGTTACCTGTAGAGTGGATGAGTGTCAGAGCTGATACTGACCTGACTAAACAGACCAGGTAAATACCAAAACCAACAATGGTTTGTTTCTACTGACAAGTATTGTCTGTGTATTTAAAGCCTTATTTTCTGTGCCAGCTGAAAATATTCCTCAACATAAATGCTAAAAACTATGTCCACTTACTTTATAAAATTCCTTATCCTTTTTAAAAAGAAACTATATACACAAGTGACCTATTTTAAGACTGTAAATCATGTTTAAACAGTAGATATTAAGTTGATTCAGATGTTTAGTCACATGGAGTCATTTCACACAGATTTGTTTTCCTTTCAGATTTCTCAGTGTAAAGAGTCAGTTCATCGATTGATAGGAAGAATTTACAGTTGCTGAAATATTTTGTATCTGAGTCAGTACAAACACCTGAGGCTGCTTTGGTAAATTCAAAGTGTACGAGAGTAATAATACTAACCATCACAGCTCACATTGTTTTCATTATTATGATAAGAAACAAGCATGAATTCATTTAATATGCATTACAAACAGTTTCCAGTCTCCAGAGTCTCTGGAGATTTTTTTAACTCTCAAACAATGCATGCTGGGAAATCCGCTAGTTTTGTCTCTTTGAAAGTTCATGTAGTGAGTTAAGTCTCAGCAGTTTATTCATTGAATTCATCACTTCAAGTCAACTTCTCGCCAGAACAAGTCATGTTCATAAGTTCTAAAATGAAACTGGTATTCTAAGATGAATTACCTTTCAATGAACTAAACTTGCATGTCTACATTGCGTTAACAAAAAAGCTAATTTAATTCCACTAAATTCCTGTATCATGTTTTACAGTGTAGGTTTACATCCTCAGTAGGAACAGGCAGGTTTGGGGTTGAGTGCCGCCGACAGGGCAGGGAGTTCAGATGTGTTTAGAGATAGACTGACACGTTGTTGGTTTTGGTCTTTTCATGGAATGTGTTGACAATAACAAAATGCTAGAATAACACCAGGCTTAACCTTTAAGAGTGCAAACTACAAGGACCAGGCAACATCTGGACACCACAGCTCCTATCAAGACATCTGGTGCTCAGGTCACAAGCTGAAGCCACCATCGGGACCCAGTGGTGGAGACACACTGAGGCCCCTAAAACATCCAAGTAATGTTGTCCATGTAGTGTTTCCTCACAGTTAGACAAACGAAGACAGGCTGCCACATGAGCCTGTAGCTCCAGCACCGAGGCTCCCACTCCTGCTCGGCTTATAACAAAGTGAGACTCCTGCTCATACAGGGACACCTGGTGGACATGGTTCAACATAACGGGAGGCAAAGGAACTACAACACCAAGGTTAAATCCCTAGCAAACTAAAAATTAAAAAAATTGAAGCTTGTTGCATCCTCCAGAGACACATTTAGCTGTCTGTGCATTGTAAAGACATCTTAAATGAAAATAGCCAGACTTGCATAAAAAAATTTTTTTTTTAATCTTCTTAGTTGAACAGATGAAATTCACTCCTCTTTAGCTAATAAAATGAGCTAGAGTGGAAAATGTATCTACTGTTTGTTTACTTTGCTGGATGTCACTAAAAGGCATTACAACAAGTTAACCTCAAAACACAAACACACCAAGGTTAGCTTAACGTTTTCAGCCGTCTTACTCGTAGAATGTTTTTATTGTAACTTGTGTCAACTAACGGCAGTGATATTATATCAAAAGAAAAGCATGAGGAGTCAAATGGTTGATCAGTGTATTGTATACAAGGAAACCATAAAAGGCCTCAGATACATCCTGATGAAGATAGCCGGAAACGTTTGGTGAATCAATCATGGTGTACTGGAGAAGTGCCATGATATAGTGACACACACTGGTCTACCCCTCACCTAAACATCAAAAAAGTCTAATTAAAGCGCATAAAATTAGAAAGGATAGACTAAAACTATTAAGAAAAAAATTCAGCTGAGCGAACAAGGTGTGTTTTTTGTTATAGGAGAATGTGAAGAAAAGCAGTTTATCCAAGCTAAACATATAAAAGCAGCCCAATCAATGAGTAAAACTGTTCTTTGTTTTGTTTTTGCAGCTACCATGTGGCTCAGTACATTCACGTTATGAAACTTCTTCAGACCTGGACAGTGACAGTTTACACAGTTTACTACAGTCAGCATGTGATCATCTGTCGTGGTGCGTGTTCACTGGGCCTGAGCCCCCTGGTTCCTACTCTCCTGCCATGACTTCTTCCTTATCTCCAGCTCAGCGTCAGTGAACGATGCAGGACCCCAGTTAGTGATCCTCTGTGGTCCTTTATGACCTATAAGACCAAGTTTTTAGAGAAGCATGACTATCTTCTAACAAGGTGTACTGTACCTACAAACAAGCTGCTGATACAGAAAGCAGAACACGGTTTTTGTACCATTCTTCTGGATTTGTACATTGACCTAACTGACCTTTGGATGCACTTAAGACTGTTAATTACTCTGAAGAGACTGGCCTGATTTAGTGCCAGGTAAGCACAGGACCTTGGTCCAAGATTTAACACCAATTTAAAGTTCATACTGACCGGTTGAAATAAGTATTCAGTATTCAGCAAGCAAAACAGAGATAACAGAGCCTTGAATGATCCTTTTCAGTACTCCCCTGCAGTGGGTTAACTAATGTAACAAATATCAAATATTCTGATGATTAATTTCCCAATTAATTTGTAAAATATCTCAGATATGTTAGAGGTCATTATAGTATCCCAAGATGATGACTTCAGATGTTTTATGTCCACTCATCAGTCCAAAGACAAGAGACAGTAACATAAAATTAAGAAAACCGGAAAATCCTCGCACTCTACAAGTTGGAACCAGACAATAGCTGGTGTATTTGCTTAAAAATTACTTAATGATTAAGCAATCGAAACAAATTAATTAATTTTATGACAACCAACCTCCAGTAATTCCTAATGACAATTAATTCAATGTGACCTGGACCCGCAGCAGAGAATGAATGATTGATTAATTTAATACAGGTTTTAGCAAAATTCAACACTTGCAGTGGTGACAGTTTGCTACAGGTCTAACGGTGCCCACAAACTCCTGCTGCAGCACAATCCACTGTCACGACAGTTGTACTTTTAGTGTGGAGAAATGCATCATCACCTGACAGCCCAGTACCAATGTAAATGTATAAATTCACTAATAAACACTGATGACCAACCATTAATCCCCCTACCTGGCTGGATTAAACGCACCAGTCCCTCATGTTTGGCCACCTTGTCTTTCCAGGTCTTTGTCTTATTTGCTGCTCGTTCAAGCTTCCTCGACACCTCCTATATATATGAAACAGATGGCATGTCAGCAAATAGTGGATAAATGTCTATGAAGCATTTTCAGTGAGTTTAATATTTTCATCCAGCAGGGGGAGCAGCTGCTGATATGAAATTGTTGTTGAATCATCTGTATCAAACTGTTTTAATTTAACAAAACTGAACACTTTTTTTTTACAATTCTTGCACAAAATGCACTATATTGTATAGTGCATTTTTGCATTTTGACACAAGCATATCATTGATTGTAATAAACATAACTGTGCAAACACTACTGCAGAGTATTTTATAACTCGGTCTGTACGTTATGTTATGGCCTTGTTGATACTCATCAGCTGAAACGATTTCAAGCTTATTCTGCTGCAGCAGATACTGAACATCCTCAAAAAATAACTGGGGTTCATACATCAACAACTCAGTATGTTACTGTACAGACCTAGTAAACTGGACTAAGTGTGGATCCTTTGAAGGACTGTGTGGTACTGTCCTGCTGTGGTTCCAATTTTTAGTAAACAGGTGTTACTTACAGAAGGACAACAGCATGTAGGAAATGTACACTGATACATGAAGCATGACTAAGCCTTTACACGACAGCAGTGGTAAAATTATGTTTAGTGGGAATGAAAAAATAGATGAAAATGCTGGGGTTCTGTGATACAAAATATCCCTACAACAGCTGTGGGCTATGGGTGAAATTTACTTGCAAAACTTAGCTTAAGTTGTACCACAAAGACATGGGTATAAAAGGGCAGGTAGGGTGGATCACTGGTAGGAACCAGCATCATGCAGTGGCAGATACTGTAAAGATTTCACTGTGATTTTTTTCTACTATAAATTAAGTTAAATGGGAAGGGAAAAAAACAACTGTGGGTAGATCTTCACAGTTGTGTTAGCAGATACATAAGTACTGCCTGTAGCCAAACAGACAACAAAGAATGAAACTATATCTGATGCTGTAACAACATCATCACTAAGGTTGGTGAGATGTAAAGATTTAGATTCACATGTGTGACCTGACCTCATAATGCTCCAGCGCTCCCTGCCGCTCCCTCTCCAGCCTCTCCAGCTGCAGCATGGCTGCCTGTAGGTCTCTCTCCTTGGCCAGCTGTTCAGCCACTAGCTCCTGTTTCTCTGTCTCAGTCTGAGAGAGCGCCCTCTGCTGCTGCAGGTGGATCAGCTCTAACTCTGCCCTCTTTGCTGACTCTTCCTCCAGCAGCCTGCAAGACAGAACACAGCAAAGATACTTATAATTTTCTGTCCAGCTCATATTCAGAGTGAAGTTCATGAGGAGCAGGACCCAGAACATATTGGTAGAAGTGTGTGTGTGTGTGTGTTGGGGGGGGGGTGACTGCTCATAATAAGCACAATCGATCATTTTAGCCATCTAAACATCAGCAATTAAAATGATCAGCCTGCTGAGTTTCATAATAATCATTTGAAACAAGTCATAAGAACTGGCAGTTCATTCTTGGTGGAAGGGAAACAAGAACTTCAGTATTTTCCAGACAGTGTTTCTTGCCATTGTACTATTTCTCTCATTTTTCATTGCTTTGCAGGACATGTGGTTACTCTACTGTTTTCACTGTTGCTTCACCTTGCCAAAGTTATCTGCTCTCTGAGCCCATCAAAAAGTAATAAACAGCAAAAAAAATGGTCTAATGAACTGTAACACATTAGACTCATATTACAATAAGTATGTCAAGTGTTTTTAGAAGGAGTGAATGAAGACAAACAGGATTTTGTTAAAAGTATTATGAAGTTTTAATATGAAACGCATAGCAGGGCAGGTTAGAGCACAGTTAAGGCTCGAGTACCCAACGTTACTTGGTCAAACTCTTTAAACAAAAGTGATCAAGTTGAAAACTAAGTAACAAAAATGTCCAAGGATATGCTAGACAACAATCTTAATCTTAGCAAGAGTAGCATGTACTAAACAAAATAATGGTAACATGATCGGAGTCCGGTCAACAATGCAGATACTAACTACAGAATATATAAACAATCATTCAGAAAATTCACTGGAGGGTGAACAGTGCTTGGCGTAACAAAAAGAAACAAACTGAATCTCAACAAAATAAGAGTTCATGCAAACCTGGGAGATATTAGTCCATAAGTGAGGACCAGAAACAAGAGAGATGAGTTCTTGAACAGTCCAGATAAAACAGCAGAAACATGAAATCCTGATTGTTTATTGAAAACAGCTGAGTGTAATTAGTGAGGTAAAGCTGGTTCAGACGAGGGCATGAAGCAGCAGAAGTGTATCAGAATAAGAGCATAAAAACAGGAAGTCTGACTGAGATGGTGGCAATTTACTTCCTATATGTAACACTGTGCTCTCCAGTGAGCAGTGGTGGAAGATGTACAGAGGTTGTTTAAGTAAATGTAGCAATACTACAGTGTAAAAATACTCTGTTACAAGTAAAAGTGCTCATTTCAAAATGTTACATAAAGATAATCACCTTTATTGGCCAAGTATGTTACACACAAGGAATTGTTTCCGGTACAGAACCGAGGCAGCCATCTGCGGCACCAACTCAACCGATGGCTCTAACCATTGGGGGCAACTTGGGGGGTTCAGTGTCTTGCCTAAGGACACTTCGACACGTGGACTGGAGGCACCGTGATTCAAACCTCCAACCCTCTGGTTGGTAGACTACTGCTCTACCCACCAAACCACAGTCGGCCCCTAAGTACAAAAGTATTAGCACCAAAATTATACTTAAAGCCCCAAAAGTAAAAGTAGTCATTATGCAGAATGGCACATTTTACATTGATGTAAATCACATTATCTGATTATTGATGCATTGTTGTTTCCATCACGTTAACGCAATAATCTGGCAAAAGTGAAGCTAATTAAACTACATTATATACATATTGTTGGAATTATTGCTGGAGAGCATTTGAATTTCCCACTAGGGATCAATTGACTCTGATGGTATTTATTTATACTGTATTTTGTCTAGTTAATCTGACTCTGAAAAGTAACTAGTAAATGAAGATATCCAATAAATGTAGTGTAGTAAAAAGTACAATTTTTACCTCTAAAATGTAGTGAAATCAAAGTATGAAGTAGAAGAAAATGAAAACATTTGAGCAGATACCCCCAAATTGTACTTAAGTACAGTACTTGAGTAAAAGTTCTTAGTTACTTTCCACCTCTGCCAGAGAGTGTGTGACTTACCTGGCCTGCAGTTTTCGCATTGCCTCCTCATCCTGCTTGGCCTGCCTCTCATCCTCTAAGGCCTCCTCCAGTCGGTGGTACATGTCCTCCAGCTCCCGCATACGCTGCAGGTACTGCTCCAGTTCACTGGACTTCTGAGCCACCTGCTCCTCCATCTGCTGACGCACCTGAGCAAGTCAGCACATAATGTAGAGCTGATCTTCAGACAGGTTTTTAGCGACTAGTGTGGCATGTATGTATGATTGCTGAGGGAGAGCTGTACAGTGGAATGCTAATAAAGGTGTTGTGATTCTGATTCTCATTCGTTGCTGCAGTGACACAGTCTTAACTTTATCAATCAATGAAATTCATTTTATCTCACAAAGGCATTTTTCATTGTATTAAGACAATGATTAATAAGCACCAGTGCATGTGACACTTCGACAAATGATGTCATCATGAGATATCTGGTTTATTTTTAGCTTGTTTCCTGCCTTAATTCACCAAAATCAAGTAGCTGCCATAATGAACCACTGACAAGTCATATGTCACCACATATGCAGTGCAACGCTTATCAGCCCACATTGCTTGTGGCAGGCAGACTCGGGTACAGTGGTTACCATTTTCTCCCTCTCCAGGTCCAGTCTGTAGCGATCCTGTAGGTCCAACTGGGTCTTCCTCCTCCTGTGCTCCTCTACTGCTGCTTTAGCTGCAACCTCTTCCATTTTCTAAGTATAAAGCAGGAAAGAGATGTTACCTTTCCACTTGACTGGAGGCCACACCAGGCTACAAGGGGGGAATCCTTTAAAGACAAACAAGGCTTAATAAAAAAAAACTTGGGTTGGTTTAAGGAGGAATCTGAGGTTTTTATGCATTTCGAGGCAAATAACTCAAAATAATAGTCAAGAGCAGCTTTTCTTTTTCCTTCTGGTCTCTTATGAAATATTTTATATATACTACTAAAGGTATATTTAGCCTGGCCTGGTGGCTCGGTTTCAACGCTCTCTCCATTGTGGCCCAGGTTTGATTCCTGGTCGGGGCACCTCTAGCCACAGGAGTGACTTTTGTGCCCTTCCCAAGCCCAGATAAATAAAGAGGGTTTGCTTCAAGAAGGGAATCCTGCATTAAAAACCTGCCAAATCTACCATGCAAACTGTTACTGTGGGAGACAGATGATTTACTGTGGCGACCCCTAACAGGAACAGCTAAGCATGGAACAACAAACCAAGGTATATTTAGAAAATGATGCTTTCCACATATTCAGTAACTAGTAAGTAAGTGACTTTTGACATGTGAAAAAAGCCACCTGGGAGTGTCAAAGGGGAAGTGAGAAGCCATCACTAATCTGCTGCAGCACTAAAACAACTGAGTTCATATGTCTGACTCTCAGCAAGCCGCAGGTGTCACTGACTGATATTTACTGTCATTTGCATAGCAGGTTTCACTTCCCTTTTCAGTGAATCTTCTGCTACATCATCTGTTTTTTAGTCATTGGAGGGTTTAGGTCATTTTTGACCAAATCAGTGAAAATAAAGAGTAATAACCAAAAACTTTTTTTTTTTACTGGTAAGAGGCTTCTATCAACTCTCAACTCATTACTAACACAAATCAATGTTGGGCTCATCTTTTCCCCTTCAGGATTATCTTAAAAATCCTGAATAAGCGGAAATATTCATTTGAGTTGTGACAGTATGTACAGTAGAACAGTACCTCCCTCATGGCTTCCAGTTGTCTCTGTTTGTTGTCATTGGCCACCTGGAGCTGCTTCATCTTCTCCATCAGGTCCACCTCCTCCATCTGCTCATCTGCTGCCGCTGCCGGAGCTCCCTGCGCCTCAGCCGGGCCTCACGGTGGGGAGGCAGCAGCCCCAACCTGAGCAGCTGGATACTTGTTTGAATTGCTGCCGTGAGCCACAGTGAGAGAGGACTGACTAAGAGCTTTAACAGCAATCTAAACATAGATGCACTGCTGAGACAGCAGCTATAACATAAACAAATTAAGAGACAGCGATGATGAAAACTTTTTATGATGAGGCAGTTACAGAGCAGTAAAAACACATACCTTGAATCCATTTTTTTTTATCAGTGCACTTGATAATAAACAGGCATTTCTTCCCATCTCTGTCTGGCAGAGACTACAGGAGAATGAAATGTCAGTTATATTGTACCGCTGATATATATTATAAAAAAATTAATTAAAATTAAACTACACCACTGGACTGTTCACCTCCACACAGCAGTTTGGGTCCAGAATGATGTCTCCTCTCTTCTCCACAAGATCCTCACAAACATAGTATGACAGTGAGTTAGGCTGAAGGACAAACCAGCGCTCAGTCCAGTTCTTCCTTTTATGGCCCTTTTTCATCATGTATCCCTTCAAAACACAGTGTTGAGTTAAACAATGACATGTTAGCCATAATCACTGTGACGTATTAAACATAAAGTTTTGCTATTTAGAAAGCTTATTAAGAAATTTATTGATCACTTAGCATGTGAATCAGCTACTGTTATGCAGTGGGTGTTTTACATATACTACATCCATTATTGTAATAACCGTATCACTTTAACTGTTCAATAATGAAGGAGTCCTTGTGTTTCTGTCAAACCAGACAATACATGATATACTGTTATTATGCTTTCCATAATGTTTCCTTTGCTTCCTCTCTTTTCGAAAGAATATAATAATTGTACGTTTCTACTGAAAATTAAGACTGATTTGTTTCCCCCAAATATTATTTCTAGCTGTGAGCAGGGTCTGCAGGATTAGGGCAGACATATAAGCAATTGTTGTTCATAAACTATGTAGCTGTGAGTACACTACAACACATGAAGGAAACATAGATGAGTGTGCACCATTTTCTTTAAACACAGGGCTTCCTTCTTTTAGATAATAGCACTTGGACTGTAAGACACTGTTCAGCTGAGTAAAGCTGTAAAAGTGGGTGGGGGAAGGGGTTAGGGGCAACATCCTGTCTGACCTGCTTGAGCACGTCCAGAATGAGCTCCTGGAAGACCTCGCTGATGCCCAAGGAGAGGGTCTGGCGATTGATGCCCTTGCTGAAGTAGCCCATCCCCACTAGTTCAATCAGCTCCCAGGCAGTCAGGCAGTTCCTTTTTGTATTCAGCTGCAGCTTGTAATCTGTAAACATCTCTTCACTCCATCCACTGCCCACGGCCTCAATCAGCTTTCGCAGAAAGTACTCAATCTAAGGAGAGGGACATCTATACTTAGAAATGAAAACCATGGTGGAGGGGATGGTTAATATTTCTCTTCCTTGTTGGCTACAAGAGTCTTCCTCACCTCTTCAGTCACGATGACTAGTGGGTATTTGTCTTCTGACAGAAAGTTGAAAATGCACCAGATTTTAAATGCATTGTCTTCGGAGATGAGAAGATTTTTAATGCAGATATTTTTCTTGTAACATAGTGTCCAACACATCTTGTTGAACTCCACTACATCAAAATCCTCCCGTACCTGTGAATAAAAACAGAGCATTCAGTCAGAGTCAAAGTCAGACTGGTCAGCACCAGTGAGGACAGTGTGTTTACAAATGCTAAGAGGGAGACTAGTGTTTGTCTCCTTTCAAAACCTTGAGCCTGCAGGATGTGAGCTACAAACATGGTGTAATTAAATGCCTCATTTTTATTCAAGTCAGGGTTTACAAGAGAAAGGCAGCTTCTGAAAGAGTGAAACTCAAGCACTTCACTAACTGACACGGGAATTAGTTTTAGAATATTTCAACAGATGTGTTTGCCATCTCGCACTGTGCATCCTGAGCAAGAGGGCAAAAACTCTTATTACAGATAAGAATCTTTTGCTTTTCCAAAGACTCTACTGGAATACAATTACATTCATTATGATAGGAATGAATAAATAATAGACAAAACACATTGTTACTCTGGGTACAACAGAGAAGTGGTTGTAATTATTTCCTCTCCTACAGAGCAAAACACATCATGATTAGTCATCCTCGTCTGTGTCATAGTCTTCAACAGAGAAGTGTGTGTTGGTGGGTTTTCACTATTTTTATCGTTCTATTTTTTTCTTTCAGATTTTAGGCTTAAATCTTTGCTAAAGCTTTTGAGAGCTGTTTATGTCAAAGTGTGACAATCGCTATAAGTAAGAACTAAAAGCTAGGTATCTCAAATGTGTACATGTACAGTACTTATGTAAATACTGTCCCCAGATTTCTTTTGTATCACATTGACCATCTGTTTATGCAAAAACAATACTAACCTGTTCTGTAAAAGTGCAGATTATGCAACACAATGCTAAAGTTCAAAGCTTCTGTTACAGCACTTCTGGGAAGCTTAAATAACTACGTTAAAACTACAGTGTGTAACTTTTTTCAAATACTTTTGTTTAAGAAAGCTGCTCCAAAAGTTGTCTTAACATGGAGAGGTGCTGTCGAAGCCTCCTGTGATCCAGACCCATTGAACAGTACTGGCAGCAGTGCAGAGAGATTAGCTTTTAGAGGTTTTGAGTGGGGCTGACCTTGTTAACCAAGCTGAGGTTTTCAGTTATTTCTGCTTGATCAGTAACATAACAACTTTTATCTGAACAGCTGCGCAGAGTGTGGCTGAGCATAGCAGAACAGGGAGAGGGAGTGCTGGGTGGAGCACGATGGGTTGATTTGCAGTTTCATGGTGGCAGAGAGTTACTTTATAAATGTGTTTCAAAGCAAAGCTAACTACCAGCCAACATTTGTGTTTGTGTTTCAAGGATCACTTCACTCACATTTCTTGGTTGTCAGGCTACATTTCATGCTGTCTTCCTCAACCTCAGGTGGTGTGAGGTCCATTCAAAATCCCACAACTTGGAGTTCAGAGCATTTAAACTTTCGCACTCCAATACTGAAACCTCATTTGGCCCGTGAACATATTGTAGCCCTAATTTCAGCTGCCAGCGGTGGTTCAGGTCAAGGAAGGTCAAAATTATTTTCCAGGACAACAATGCTTTTCAGCACATTTTACTATATCTCTCATTTTCCACAACTTTACCAAAACTGGAAAATTGGATATTTGCATATTTAACTGTATTTAGACTACTGCATAGCTCTGCACCTACAAGCATAGTAAAGAGAAATGAAAGGTCTGCAAAAACTTCTGTTTCTTATCAATACCAAAACCCAATGCCATTTTGGCACTAATATAAAAAGTGTCAAACAATACCCAGCCCTAGTTATCATTTTGACAACAGTGTTAACTGGTGTAATATTACAAAACTCTCCCATTCTCCTGCAATTTTTCCAGCATCTTTGTGCTCACCTTGTCAAGAATAAACCTGTTGAGGTAAGGCATGTAGCCTTGGTTGGAGAGAAGCCCTTGATCATCATTTTTAAAATGCTCTTCAAGGGCAACAGGGTCATGAGGGATCTTCATCAGTGTGCACAGGTTGTGAGACAGCACCTAAAGTAAAAAGTTAAATAGATACTCCCATAAGACATGAGCAGGGCCTAGATTAACACATGACATTCCTATATAGTACCACACCCCTGCAAAATGAACATCTGTGACAATAAGTTAAAGGTGGAGCTCAAGATCAGTCTTGCAGTTTTCAGATTTTACTAACCACACATGCAAAAACCTTTCACTGACATTTACAAGCATTACTGGTCAAGCATGACTTTGAAGGTGAACTTTTACCCCTTAGACTCGAGGTTTTTTTCTACTTAAGTAAAAGTATTGGCATAATCACCAAAATGTAGTTAGAGGTATCAAATGTAGGTGAACTCATACATGCAGATTGGCCCAGAGATACTTAGCTTAGGTACTGCTAGGTTGGTTAATCCATATCACTAGCTTATGTCATGTCATATTTGATCATCGTTTATTTTCAAGGCTGGATTACCAGCTGGGCAAAATGACCAATTCTCTCCGGGTGCTCCGGCTTCGTCCCACAGTCCAAAGAGATGCAGCTTAAGTTGACTGGCGACTCTAAATTGCCCATAGGTCATGAGTGTGTGTTGTCGTTTGTGTTCGTGTCAGCCCTATGATAGACTGGCGACCTGTCCAGGGTGTACCAACCCCTGCAAGAATAAGTGATATAGATAATACTAATAATAGATAATCAACTGCGACAGGTTGTAGCCCTAGGACTCTGTGTCACACTTGGCCTGAATGGTGTTTTGTGTATATAGTCCTGATTTGTTGTAAAGTTGTGTTTTATAAAAACTGCATCCAATTTTTCTCTGGCAAATAACTGATTGTTCAGTGTCTAAAATGTCATAAATAAAAACATATTAACTTGTTGAAATAGCTTTATTGTCTGATCAGAAGTCCAAAACTCAAAGATGTAGAGTTTATTATAATATGAAACTAAGTAAACTAGCAAATATTCATATGTGGGAAGTACATTTTGTAAATTTTTGCTTTAATAAAAAAGTAAATAAGGAAACCTCAGATTACTGAAGTACTATTTGCTGCTCATTAATCAACTAATTTAATATTGATCATTTTAGCTCAAGAGTAGGCCTACTGGTTGCTTTCTGGGTGCTGCTAGAATTAAACTGCCATCTACAGTGGGGGTCCACAACAAATATATGCCCCAGGGCCCCCTAGGAATTTGATCTGGCTATGAAACATTTTGTGTGTAAAAACCTGAAAAACCACCGGATAAATGATCATTGTATGCAGGGTATAAAATCCACCATTTCCCCTGAAAATTCAACGAAGTATACGTGGAATAAATTGACACAACACTGTGTGTACCCTGAAACTGTAAGTGTGCGTAAATGTCAGTACGCGTTAAATGTTTCTGAGTGGTATCCACAAGATGTAATGAATAACCACTGACTTATTCCGTAGCAGCTTAGGAACGTCAGTTTTTAACTTTATATCAACAGCTAACGTAAATCTCAAGCAATGTCACGAACGTAGCTGAAATCTCTACACAGAAGAACAAAAATTAAGCCGAAACACACCTTTAACTGAGATTTGGAAACTTTTCCACGCTGGTCTACGTCCAGGGCTGTGAATGCGTGCCATATAGATTTTAAAAGCTCCTCTCGAAGCCACATTGTGTCCCCCCGAGCACCACCAGAGCAGGTCTGTCTACTACTGACTGTGTGTTTGCGTGTCAGTAGTGTAGCGAACTGCCCGGCTCCAAAACACAACGCAAAGTCTGCGGAACCGCAGGGGGAAGTGAGGGGATAGCGCCACATAAGGTTTAGTAACTAATTCAAAACCTGTCAATCGAGAGTTGTTTCTGCTTTATAAACTGAAAATGTCAAGTAACCCGTGGTGGAAAACAGCCTAAGTAACCATTTAGCTGATATTTACGCATACTTTTCCATTTCATTGTACTTTAAACTTGTTTTTACTAGGTTCCAGAGAAAAACACTGCTGCATCTGACACGCTTAGTTACTTTCTATTTTTAAAATAGGAAAAACAAAAGATAAACTAGATAGTAAAGTAAATTTCATTTTAAGCCTTAGGCTGCAACCATTTTATATTTTCATTAAGCATTTTATTAATTCATTAGTTATATGGTCTATAAAATATCAGATCATTATAAATGTCCAGTACTTAACATTGAATCATCCAAAGGCCTACAATATATTATAACACCCTGAAAGGACCCATTCTGCCAAATCGGTGCTTTTATTTTTGAAATTTCAAGTGCATTTTGCTGATAATACTAATTCAGCCCCATTTTATTATTTGTACTGTATTTGTATTGGAGTATTTTTACATAGTTGCATTGCTATTTTGTTTCTAGTAAAGAACTAAATACTTCTGCTGGTACACAGTACCCAAATTCTGACCAGTACTGTATCTGACAGGCTTATTTACTCCTTATTTTTTACAGCTCAAGATTTTCCATTTAAGGTACAAGTTTATAAAATATGTGTTGCTACTATAGATCAAACTACCAGACAGGAATAAAGCAGCTAAAAGTAGTAGAGCCGCTATGACAGATGCAAAGATTAATCATGTTATAAGAAAACACACATGGTCTTGAATTCCCTTAGCTTTTTTTTTTTTTTTTAATATGTTGTTGTATATATAGATGGTTCATCCATACACCAACCAAAAGCTTGAGACCTTCACAATTAGTCCAATTGTACATGCATCATTGATGTATCCAACTGTACTGTCGGTGCTCACAAACACGTCCTGTAGCCACACTGAACACCAAGAGCACTCGTTTCCTGACATTGTTTCCGAGGTGCCCACTGATCCACTCTGTAACCAGATATGTGACAACCAGCCATTACAGAAGTCACTTGCAAAGTAACAAAGTTACAGCTATTTTCAGTTTAAATAGTCTTCAATTTAAAAAATTTGCAGTCTGATACAGAAGGCTTGAAGACCTGAACAATATGAAAGTGCTAGTCATTAATTTACAGAGATCAGGCATCACATAGTGCTATGAAGTATCCAATATGCTACATATGAATACAGCTGTTGACACCTTAATGCCTCTGGTTGTTTTTCAAGGCTGCTTGAAAAATCAATAACCTTGGCTTGTATGTACATAAACATGTGTTTGTTTATGCAGAAAATAATGTAGATATTACTACTACCAGAGGTATAATCTTATGTCAGCTGTTTGGCCACAACAGTGATAATGCAATATTTAGTCCCATTATCAATTTCTAGCTGTTAATCCCCCAATTTTGTTTAAGTGGGAAAAAACACAGAGTTGCTGTCGTGGTATCCCCGCCACACTGGGCTCCAGAAGACAACGTTGTTGAGAGCTTCTTCTCTTGCATTGCGCTCAAGTTCTTGGTTTGTTTTCCCCAGCCATTGGTTGCTTTCCCGCATCTTCTGGTGCTATTTCCCATTTGACAGATTGAAGAATGACTGAGAAGAACCAGCTCTGTCTGGAACCACTACTTAAGGGAACAACACAAGCTTTTTTTTTCACTTCACTACAATCAGTCACAGAGTAATAAAAAGTACAACAGATGACTCAATTCATTCCTGGAGCGGTGCCTCCAAAGTTGAAAGTAGAGCACACTTGTGCACATACATATTTTCATTTTCATTCATGTAATTAAAGATACTCTTTCATCAAGGCTATGGTTTTCTGTAGCTGGTTCTTATCTGCCACCCAGCTTCCACTGCAAAAAAAATAAATAAATAAATAAAAAATAAAAAAAGTTTGCTCACTTTTAATTTACTAAACAGCTAGTACTAGACACTCTGCAAAAGTTGAACATTAAATACCAGAAGTCCCTCAAATCTTTCGTGCCATTTCAAAAGAAAAGCTCTTAAATATTTCTTCCCTGCAGTGTCACAGAACCTGCAAACACGATTTTCAGACAAAACTGGGTTTGTGAAACTTCTTAGTCCATCGGTCTAGTAGCAGTGACAAGTGTTACTGAAAATCTGTATGAATTAGAATCATATGCTCATCTCATCTTCTGTCCACACCTATGCTGATCTGACTCGGGTGCTCTTGGCTATTCTCTAAGTCAAGCAGATTGACGGCCCGGTGTGATCAATGCATTTTATGTCAACAATAATGAGAACAGGAGATATTGCACACCATCCTCTCTTGCCCAACATGGTTTATTGTCAGCCCATAAAATCCCAGGGCACCACTTTGGCCCACTAGCACTGGCAGACATATTACAGACAGAGCATTCCAGTGTACAGACATTTTACTATTGAAAAGGGATTAAAACAGACACTTTTCTTTTATGGGAGGGGAGTGATCATCCCAGACTCATGTTAATGTGTATATAATAGCCTCAAATGCAACTGATTTCAGTTTATACTATACAGAGGGAAGATGCTATAAATGCTGTGGTACTTTTTATTTGAGGAAAATGTATAGATGAAAAGGCATTAGCAATATGATTTAGACATTGTAAAACTGCAAAGCAACTGCCAATCACAAAAAAAGCAGAAAATAGCAGCATGTAGAAAAAAAAAAAAAAGGTTTATTGTCATACTCAAAAGCGGCATCAGGGTTTATTTGGAAAATTGATGAGTCTCAGCTGGTGCTCACCATGTGCTGCCCGTCTCTGGTCTGCAAGCGTGGCAATGTCCTGAAGCTGTTTGCCCTGTTCCTCATCAAGGGCTTGTGTTAGTGCCTGGTACCATGCTGGGTCACGGGTCTGGATATCTGCACGACAGTAAAATCAGATTGGTGACTGGTTTGTTTTATGGAACGGTTTCACCTACATTTGCAAGTGATTAACACAAGCCTTCCATTGGCAGGTTGGTACCATGCTGGGTCACGGGTCTGGATATCTGCACGACAGTAAAATCAGATTGGTGACTGGTTTGTTTTATGGAACTGTTTCACCTACATTTGCAAGTTATTAACACAAGCCTTCCATTGCCAGGTTGTTGTCATCTTACTCTGTAGTATGGCTTTGAAGATCTGATACTCGTCCACCAAGTTGTCTTCATCGTCTACAGATGTAGTGTAGCCCTCAAGTGCCGTCTCCTCAGCATCATCTTCTTCCCAGTCTTCATCATCTCCATCCTCCCCTGCATGCTTTGCCAGCATCTCCAGGTACTCCTGGCCCTCCTCATCAATGTCATCCTCATCACTGCCCAGCTCAGCTACATACAGAGAGTTCAGGGGAACACCTATCAACATCACCTTATGCACACCTTTACTTGCCTTGCAGTAGTACTGGCTGAGTGCTGAATTTGGCTTATGCAAAAATGAAACTTTACCATTTTCATCCTCATCTTCTCCATCTTCATCATCGTCCTCGTCCTCGTTTTCATGCTCTGCTCGACAGGCATACGCCCTCTTGAGGCCACTGAACAGCAGGATGGCTGCTGGAAGAAGCTGACTAGCCACCTGGTTAACGACCTGAGGCCTGTGCTCGAGGTCAATGAGAGCACAAAGTCCAAGAATCGACATCTTCCTGTCATGGAGGCTGTGATGGGAGCAATGGGAACAAAAAGTAAGCGGGACTTCTGAAAATAACAGTGCTGGGATAATTGATGAGGATGGAATAACTGAGTAAACAAAAAAAGAAAGAAAAGATTGATTAAACTGAAACAGTCTCCAATTACAACAAGGCTCACAATACTCGAGATTCAGAAAGGGTGTTAATCAACACCTGGCTGGCAATACTGAAACTCTTATGAAACCAGCCTTACCCAAGGAAGCAGTCAACATCTTTGAGCCACTGGGTTATGAAGTGGTTAGTGATTGGCTCAGTGTTGTTGGGAAAGCGGAGATTCTCCAAAGTGTTGAGGAGAAGAGGGGGGCTGTAGTAAAGCGCAGCGATGGCCACCTGCAGGCACATAGTCCTCAACTCGCTGGTCTTCACCTCCCGCGTCAGACGCTCCAACGCAGCAGCCACGAACAAGGGCACAACCTGCAAACACAACAGGTTCAGAGGTTTTTTTTAAAGAACAACTCAAGCAAATATATTAGTATTAGCTAAAATCTAACTCCCAGAAAATATAGGGCTTTTTGCATCCTGTAGTGCATTTTGAGTCTTTAAAGTCATGTACTAACAGTTTATTAGTCTGAGATGTAATGTGATTATCTTTGTTAGACACTGACCTGATCAATTCCACGACCTTTGCACTGCAGAATGATCACCTCTAACAGCTTGGCTGCATGGCACTCTGGGTCCTCACCTGGATCTCCTGTCAGGACCTGCGAGGTGACAGACCAGGCTAAAGCTCACAACGCACACTGATGACTGCAAATAACTGACCTTGCATCTTCTTCATCACATTAACCCCACTTTACCTTTTTGCACATGCTGTAGATGACCTCCAAGTACTTGGTGTCAGACAGGAGGGTGTCTGTGTCAACTGTGACATAGTTGTGAAGAAGAGGCATCATATCTGAAACGAAAACATTTCACACTCAGGGAGGTTGTAAAACTGCAGTCATTAGAAAAAGGGATGCTCAGATACCCACGTTCTCTCTCTCTACACACATATCTACCGGTTGATGCAGAGAATTCATGTTTAAAAAAAAAAAAACAATTATATACCTCCAAAAAAATACAAGTATCCATCCAGCACATACCTGTGAAGTAGTCAAATCCATCCTGCTGGAAGACTTCATATACCAGTGGAAGGAGCTGCCACATCTGCGGCGACACCTGCTGGCAGGTTAGGCTGTGAGCCAAGGACAGGATCTCCTCGTAAAATTCTGGGAGAAGAAAGGTGAAAAAGGTGAGTCTCTAAAGGTAAATACATTCCCCACACCCAATTATCGATAGGTCATCTCTTCACTAGAGTTTTAGTGCAACATGCTGGCGAAACGTGTTAACACCAGTCTGCTTACCCAGCACATGCTGCTGCAGCACAGTGCCGATCACCTGCAGACAGATGCCCTCTAGCTGCTGGGTAATCTGAAACAGCACAAGGGAATTCAGTGACTGTGTAAATGATTACTCATCTAGAAGTAATAAGGAATTAAAGGAAAGCAAACTAGGAGCTCAGAGAAAAGGCACAAATGTAATGACTGATCTAAGAGTTTCAAGAATTGAATCAGAAAAATCACAGCTGTGAGTGGTTGTCTGCCTGCGTGTCAGTCCTGTGACAGACTGGAGACTCGTCCAGGGTGTACCCTGCCTCTCACCCAGCGCTGGCTGGGACTGGCTCCAGCCCTAATAAGCATCTCTTCATTATTTTTTCATTTACCTATTGTGTCAGTCCTGTAAGGTAACACATTCTCTAAAATATCTACAACTGAACATGTTAAATTTCCCTGTAAACCAAAAATCACTTGTCAAATAAAAGATATTTCCAGTTCTTTGTAGCTAAGTGATGTATACTGACAATCACTGAAACCTAACTTCCTGAACTGCTGCAATCACAAATCCTCCTCAGTGTAAAACTATGCTTGGTTACATCTAATGGCTTCAAGCACCAGCAGTCCTGCGTTTCGACAGACATGGTGCTAACGTGCCCTGACACTATTTCTAGCGCTTGCCTCAGCCTCCGAGTCATTTTGAACACTGTGAGAACAGAGCGCATTCCCAGGAGTTAGTGGGTGGCAGAAGTGTGTTGGCAGGAACACTGCAGCAGACCAGAGCTGCTTCTGCAGAGGAAGTAGCACTGAGATGAGTGATCAGCCAGGAGAGTGTGTGTATGTTGTGGGCAGCGTTGCTTAGCGGCTATGTTGCTAACCTCTTTGTGGTCCTCCACCACACTTAACAATGTGTCAATGGTGTTGAGGATACCCATAGCTGTCACCGCCTTATCATCTCCTCCCTCCTCATCAGGCCCCGTCTGAATCACCTGGTTGAACGTCATCGCCTGTCAAATAATGAACAGAAAGAATAGTGTGACTGTATCTGGACTTATCCACATGATCAAATCATTAGGCAAAAGATTATCCCATATTAAGATTGCTAAACTACTGTATATGAGAAGGAACAGATAAAACCTAACTTTGATCGCAGCCTTCTCTTCAAAGCACTATAGAGGGTATGTGTCATTGCCATACACCGATTTCTCCTCAGTCACTTTGAGTGCTAAACATGTATCTGCTATCTGTACATTCACATGGCAAAAATGAGAGCTGCCTGCATAAACGCCTGAGGGCTGAAAGAAGAAAAGCAAATGCTTTAAAGCAATTTGGCGAAACAGTTTTAATCCTGCTACATTAACTTAGAAGTCGCCATGTAAACGGCATGCATTATGGGATTAAATTAGACCACCGTTTCTTTTTGGATTACTCACTGAGCGACTTAACTCAGTTCCCCATACGCCATTTGAATTAAATCTTTTGATGCAGTAGTACACACCATTATTAAATACAATAACTTGAGGCATTTGCTTTTCTTGAACCTGCAGTTGTTCTCCTCCATAGTAGCATTAGGTGGAGACAATCTGGCCACTCAGTGACAGTGTCACATGAAATGACAACATTAACCTGTAGCCTCAATGACTGCACTTACCAAATGCTGTGTCATCTCCACTGCAATTGGAGTGACCTCCTCGCTGTATTCGCAGATCATCTTCTGTATGACGTTGGTGAGATCATCATTTTCCGTCTCCCTGACAATGTGCAGGAGTGCCTGCATCACTGGCCGGATGAAGGGGGTGATGTATTCTTTGGCTACAGAATACAATACACCGGTTATATAGACACTTCCACAGAATTACACTTTCTAAAAGAGAAAATCACTGTATATAGTACCATCAGGAAACCTTGCGCTGTATGACTTTACTTGCTCACCTTTCTCCTGGTTGCTGATGAGAACCTGCAGTGCAATAGCAGCCTCCACTTTAACTGGCATCTCGTTGTCATTGATTAAACAGAGGCGTGTCAACTCCAGTGCCGTCTGCAAGTTCTGGTCACTTTTGAACTTGACCTCACAGAAGTAATGGAGCACCCAGCAGGCCTTTGTGAAAACAGATCCCAGACTTGTTAATTCAGAGTCACTTTATGCAGTGCCATTATCACAACTGAGGTCTGCCTGTGAGGAGATCACCACTTACTCTGGCCCTCATGTAGCCCAGGTCACTCCGGAACAGGGGGAAGACGTGATTCTGCAGCATGAACTCCATCTGGTCCTTATATATTTTTTTCTGTGTAGAGAAGGAAATAAAAAAATGTCATGTTTCGAAAGTCAGTCAAACACACTTTACAACGTGTATCCTGTATTTTAGGATTTTCAGTATCTATGGATTGTTTTAAAAATAAAAAAAAAAAGAGGCTGGTCAATATTTGTGTAAGCTGGTTAATAACTCCACAGTAGCAGGACTAGGATTTCTGGTCCAAAGGGGGAAAAAAGTAAGCCATTTCAACACAGCAATAACCTGTTAAACTACAGCTAAGACAACTTTCACCATCCATAATAGACCAGCCGCTTCTGCAACATCATCTCTTGCCCCAGTTAGAGACAATAATTTTCTACTGAATGCTCGTGGTAAAACCAGGTAGGTGTGATGAAAATCCTGTTTGGGGAATCATGTTACAATTCTCAACATCGGCTCAGCAAGAATGGAATTGTCAGAAAGTAGTACAAACAAACCAGCTGAGAGCCCTTTACCTTGAGCAGGATTTCAGCCAAAGAGCCTATCATGTGGAGGGCGCCATCCTTTTTCCTGGGGTCAGAGGTGGGATCAGTGAGAATCTGGTAGCAGAAACCCATAGTCTTTTGCAGCACCTAAACAAACGGCAAGAACAAGTGAATTGTTGGGACAGAGGCAGCATCTGGTTATTTTTCCCTCTTATGGGATCTACTTTTCTAGCCACACAGACACCCACATTTCAGGGGAAATAACCACAAAATACATTCAATTCACCTCTTTCCTTTTGTTGCAGGCAGTGAAAAGGAGTGTCTGGGCTGCTGTTGTTGGAGAAATGAAGTCTTCAAATACATCTGTTAGGGACAGCAGAGATCAGAGCCATGGTTAGTTGGCACTAATGCACCCGGTTCCTTTTGGGTACCAGGCACCAACTCTGTCTGCTTACCAAACTTCATGCGGATATACTCGTATGGATCCTCCTGCCACAGCTCCTCATCACCATCAGTGTAACACATGAGTGGAAAAACCACATCCTGAATGATGCCCTGGGGAAACAAGTCACAATCAGGGAGTGATATTAACATGCTGGATGTGAGACCATTTGTTGTAAAAGCACCAAGTTCTCAAACTTTCCATTAACTACACATACGTAGCTACTAATGGACACGTCAACCCTGAGAATGAGTTTTGACCTGTATTCAGGTTTTTCCTGTGAGTTTGTCAAAACATTTTTGCTGTAATATGAGTAAATCAGGATCTTGTTCTTCCACCTGAACAAATTCAACTGGCAGTACTTTAACTTCAGGCTTCCACTAGTGACGATTTCACAATGATGTCACTGCACAACTAACATCTAAGACTTGTCACATACAATATTGTAAAACATGTTCTGGAGATTCAAACATGTTGTGTTTATACCTGGATGTGCAGTTTGAGGTTTTTCCATGTCAGAGCATGTGCTATGCCCTGGTTGATGTAGTTCAGTGTCTGTTGGAGTACTCTGGGAGCCACATATTGCTTTTCCTTGTACTGGTATAAGACTTTCAGCAGCACCTAGTAAACAATGTGCAAAGACTTTGTGAGGCTCCAGAAGACACATAGTTCAGCCTGACTGGAGGGCTGTTGCTGCTGCCTAGGTTACACCTTCAGAAGTTCTTACCTGTTGTGCAGGAACTGCATATTCCTTGAGGAAAAGTTCAGCAAACTCTGCATACTCTTTGGTTGTATTGCCTGGGCTTCCATACCTGCAAAGAGAGATTAATATAAGGAAGGTTATTATTAAAACATGTGCACCTGATATACTGTATTAAACAAGCAAATTGAACAATTATTGGATTTTTACCGCTCAAACAGCCGCGCCAAGATGTGAAGGGCCCACTTCTTACACTTCCACCATGGCAGCTCAGGCCGCTCATCTTCATCGATCTGCATCGTCTCCTGCACAGACCAAGGACAGTGACGGTATAGTCGGCTTAAATATGCACATCTCCAAAATGCAACAATTTGTAAGGAGTGACTGGTAATATCAGTGTGATGAATTCATTTTGTCTCCTTACCGGAGGCACATCTCTGTCCACTACTGTCTTTAGGATCTCCATCCATTCTGTCAGGTTCTGTCGATTGATGAGTTCCAGGGGGAGGTTGTACTGAGATGGACCAAAAAGGTTAGATATACATATGTGTGTGCCAAAAGGGTGCAGAAATAGTGAAGTAAAGGAACAAACCAAACTTATTTTCTACAGTAGTTGTGCTTTTTCTACACACATTAAATAATCTCATTTTAAGAGAAGATGTGCTGTGGCATTACCTGAAAGAGGGCATAGAGGATTTTGAAGATCTGTTTCTGTATAAGGACTGAGTCACTGGAGTGGTCAGGGAGCAGCTGAATAAAGCGTTGTTTCAGCATGGGCATGAAGATGTGCATGGCAGCCACTAAAGGCTGACGTTCTTCTGGTTTCTTATATCTGTTTTTGACACAGCAGCCACACAAGTACAATGTCAACCCCCTATCATGTGGCACAATGCAATATAAAATTAAGATTGAAAACCATGACTTACTCGTAGTTTTTGACAAGCTGGTAAAGGCAGAGCAAGATGCCCAGCCATCCTGCACTGTTGTCTGATTGCAGGTAGAAGCCAATCTTGTCCACAATGGTCGTCCACTTGCTGGGGTAATCGTGCTTGATCATGTGGTGGATACATGTTGTCAGCTGGACCCTGAAGAATTCAAAAGAGAAGTTTTAAATGAAGTGAAAAGGTGACTGGGAGGGAACACGGATGGACAACAAAAATCCCCAGAGTTCCTCCAACTCTGTTCCACCATCAGGTCGCATTGTTACCTGATGCGTTCGGGTGAGTGGATGATGGCCTCCACTATGTTGTCTCGAATGAACTGCCTGTCTTCCTCAGGGATGTTATTGATAGCCGTCTCGGAGCCTGAACCGTCTCCATCGCTCCAGTGCTGGGTTATCATGTTCTTAAGGTAAATCACACCTACAGAGGGAACATGCACACTTCAGCCCTTTATGGTGCTTTCATAATACAGACCAAACTTGAAAGACATAGACTACAAAGAATGAGTATTGACAAATATCCCTAAAATATTGGGATATTATTTTATGTCTAACACCCCACCCCACCCTATTCAGGAATAAGCTGTATAGATAAGGGTTGGATATTTTTGTAAAACCCCTTGAATTAAAGCTGACAATCTACACTTCAATAACACATTGACTTTATATTTCAAATGAATGTGGCACCAGGGTGCCAGCTGGGTTCACATCTACCATGTGGGGCCTTCATTGGACTTCTTTGATTCACAGGGAAAGGCATCTGAAGGAGAAGAGTGAGGGCTGGGAGGCAGACATCAGGTGGCTGACAAAGGTCTACACTGCTGGCAAGGCAACCATAACCCAGCTTATCATAGCTGAGCATAAACCCACTGCATTCCACCTATGACCACCAAAACTACACTACTGTCCAACACTAAAAATCTGTGACAGAAAAAAAATAAATACTTGAAAAGTCAAACTAATACAGTAAAATATCTACATCAGGTATGACAGTGGCACTTCACTTGGCTATTAACCATACTATTAACATACCACCACAGTCTCACAATTTTCTTGTGTTTGTCAGCATGTCCAAAATGAGTAACATACTTAAAGTGTGGGGACAGAGGACATTCAACATTACTTTAGGGTCTGTACAAGACACATGTACTGTTGGAAAACAATTTATTAAAAGTCAGCAACATGTGAACAACTGTAGACAGCAAAATCATCACAAATGCTTTGACCACCACACGCAAAATTCCATTTACCTCCTTTGTACTGAGCTGGCAGTAGAAATCTGAGAAGCAGAGCTCTGAAAAGCTGAGCACACACTGTGTATGCTGCCAATACATCTGAGTCAATCATGCTGTCCAGGAGTCTGTTTTAGAACTACTATTAATGCATTTGATCAATCTATTCACTGAAAATTAGTCAATAACTTTCAACAATCTGAAGAGAAGCAGAGTGAGAGTTTCCAAAAACCTTTTTTGATGGGCTGCCCACAAGCACCAAACCTGACATGAGGGAAAATAAATAAGAACCTGTCCATGCTTAATGACTAAGTGCCCAAAGCTGAATTTGCCAGTACAGCTATGAATATTTGGTAAGTAGGCACAAGAGGTTGGATGCTATCCGTGCACTTACAAACTTTAGTCAAGACTTTAACTTCACACTAACGTTTCTCTGCCTGAACACCTTCCTCACAGAGAAGCATCTGACTAAAGCAAAACAAGCTATATTTAACCATCTCTACGTGTCCACTACACTTCAGTGTGGCACTTTAGCCTCACAAAAACAAGTGTAGATCATGCATTACCTCTACATTACCTTTTTTTTAAAACCATTACATTAAAGGCTTCTTTAATTTTAGATCATGGAGAATATCTAGCCCACCTTTCATCTAATGCAATCTGACAAAACTGGAAAATGTCACACAAGATTTAAAACAACATTACAGCAATAATGAAAACATGAAAAGACACTAACTTTTTTACATTTGGTATGCTGAAATAAAAGTTAAAGAAATCTGTGAACAGAGGGCTATTTCACAAAATCAGAATTAATACATTTAAGATAACAAAACAAGTGGTTGGGTTTTCAAACACACCCATCAAAGAAGTTTGACATATTTCAGATCCAGTGAGCATGCCCATTCATGGAAGCTTGTGGGCAATTCAAGCACAATCTGTAAAAATGTAAACAAGGTTGCTGTAATAAAATAGCAAGAACAAGCAAGGTACCCTACTCTGACCTGACAAATCAGCTGATTGTAAAGGTGGGTTGGTTCCACTCCTTAGGCTACCAGCAGGACTGAAGATCGATGGCGATTATCTCAATACAAAACATTTATCACAAAAATAGGTGCTGATTTTAGGTCTCATTTCACAAAATCACTGAAGCAACTGCAGAACTGTTTTCACATGTCAAAGTGTAGACTCACCTGCTTGTCTGACAGGCAAATCCAGCTGATCAGACATGGTGACGTGCAGCAGTGTGGACACAAAGTTTACCTGGGCGTGACCCTGTAAACCAAAATTGAAAGATGAATGACACAATATTTGGAAATATCCTTGTTCATGCTATCTTGTATCAAGGACTGCAGGTTTGATAATATGTCACATGAAGCCCATGTCTAGTTTTTAGTGCTCTACTCTACAAAGACAAACTTGACTTTAAGCTCCTTGTTAAGCCTTCATAAGGAACTTGTACCTGTAACACGGCATGCTGAGTACACATTATGTTTGGTGTGCAGGTGCTTGATGTCATGCTCACATTAGCCAAATGTGATTAAAAAAAAAAAAGTAGGTAGTCTTTTTTGCCAATACTAAGGCATTGGAAATGCAAGTAAATTTTCCAAACAAAAATATGATTTGGTGTTAAGTGATCATGGTTGAATTCAGGATAATGTTGTCCTTGTGAAGGAAAACTGCATTAGGTTGGTCCCCATGAAATTTTAAAGGTGGAAAACGACACAGTCAACTTACATCAGATGTTTGCACCTGGATGGTCAGTCACCACTATTTATGGCACCAATTCCAACCACCGTTTCTGTATGCAGAGCTCCATCATGAACAGTATTTACCTCCAATCCTTTTTGTCTGCTTTAGGCCACATTGCAGCTCCAATGTATCAACATAGGCTATGTTTATGCAATGTATTTTAGCATTTGTCAAGCCTCAATCAATACTTTTCTGGCCATTTCCCATAAAAAACTGAGTCAGAGCATATGACTAAGTAAAGAATTGTATTTAGAAACTGTGCACTCAGATTTACTCCATCCGCCTCCAAATAACTTAAGCAGACGTGAACACTTGCCCAGCTATCCCATTCAACGAATCCATCCCTATCAATGCGTATAAGGTGTTTTAAAAAACCTGAAGCCCCATGCACTGTCAGAAATAAACATGGAGGTGAGGGTTACTTGACTGGAGCAAAGCACTGTGCTATAACTGTCTTATAATCACTTAGGCCTTAGTTTGTTACAATAGCAAATGTAGATGAATGGTGAACATTGAGACTTGACTGTGCCACATACAGATAAAGTAAGCTTCAAAATTACTTAAGGATTCGCATGAATTTCATCTCCATAACCAATCCAGACAATCGTGCCAGAGTCAGACATCATCTGGAACAAATAATTTCAAATCATACCACTTCAATGCGTGTGTTTGTTTTATGTAGGACACTGTCCTTACAAACTTCCGGTTCTAATGCGGCTAGCATGCCTGTTTCCGGTTAAGCAAAACAAATGGGTAACTTATGAAATACTGAGCTATAATTAGATCCAAACGAGGTGTAAACATAATCTAAAAAGTGTCCACATGTCTGCGGAGGAAAATCTGTTCACATGACCACTGTCGTGTTCTACTCTGCTGTAATACCAGCAGTTACAACTCCATATTGATTTTTCACCGCTTTCACTGTGACAAGCATTCAAGGGTATGCAGCAGACATGTTTCTGGCGATGAAATTCTCACATCACAAGGCAGAAGAATGTTAAAAGTCGGGGCAGTCGCCTCCCTATTTCAATAAAATAACTTCACGAAACCACAGACAAGAGCTGGAGTTCGGGAGCGCTGACCACGACCAAGCACACTACTGCTGCGTTTCCATTACCGGAACCGAACGTAACGTTATACTCGGTGCTTCGTTCCGCATTACCTCCCTTGTTGACGCGAACCGTCCTGCTTTGCTTTTTCACTGAATTTAACTGCATTTGATGTGATTATAAGTTAGATGTAATCCAGATGATTGATAGATGAAGACAGGAAACAGTTTACCTACACAGCCCGTCATCAGCCTCAGCCAACACAGTTTTGCTAAACTCCATTTTATGATGTTTGTACGTAGTAACATTAGCTATAAAGACACAGATCATATATTTATGGTGGCTAAGGCAAACAGTGGAAAGTCGATTAACTTAATGCAATTATTGCTCCGATTTTAAGAATGTCATCAATTCAGGACTTGTCACTGTGACACGTGAGCAGCGGAGCTATAGCAGCTCACCCAACAAGTAGTTAGCAAAGTTAGTTAGCTGATACTAGCCACGCAGCTATACATCAGTATCATGCTGTTGAATAACGCTACGATAGCTAACACATGCCCCATACGTCTAATTTAGCTTAATGTGTTTAACATAACTCCCCCACTATTTGTCTGTCGTGTCAGCTGAAAATGTCCTAGTGTACAATGATCTCTTCACCAAGGCAAAATGGTTAGCATGTTAAGCTGGCTCAGGACGATGCTAACGTTAAGGCTGGCTACTGGCATATGACTGTGTCATCGAAATAAAAATTACGTTTAATTCATGGTAGTGGGTGTATCATGGGGACATGAGTGAGGGTGTAACACACAGTAACGTTATAAAAATCGAGTGAGGTAATTTTGCACTTATTATGTCAAGGTAACGACAGCTGAGCCCAGACTACGTGATCGCACCATCTTGACGGTGTGAACGACCGAGGCCCGAGCCTAGACCGCGCCATCACCATTAATGGCTAAGCTCAAATTTTACCTCGTTGAGCTGTCTCTCGGCGGCTTCCCGTAGATTGGGGTCCATCGTCCCCCGAAGGGCCTCGATCAAAGAATCAGGATCCATTATGAGATCTCTATCTGCGGCTCGGACTTTAATATTTCAATGGACTCTCAATTCCCAGTCACTGCGCACATGGACGCACAGCTCTCCGGTTACCCGGCGCGAAAGGAAGCAGTGAATGAAGTACCCGGATTGATCAGCGCCAGATTTGTGCAATATGACCATCCGGCTGTGACCGCATTGCTATGGGAGTTGTAGTTTTTCGTCTTTTTTAAAGCAACTTTGTGCATAATTGTAAAACGAGCGTTACAAATAAACATATAAATAACACATAAAAAGGATATGCCAAATATAAAGCCAAACAACGTGCAGTTAGTAACATAAGCGTAGGTGTGCACATTTATGTATATTAACAGATTTCAATGGCCACAAGATTAGCATCTTTATTTATGGACATCATATCCTGGTGTTGTGGGCAAAGGTCAAACTCTTTGTGAAAAGGGTTATCAAAACATTTCAGAATAAACTGTAGAATAAATAAATAAACTGAGCCTTATACTGATAACCATTCAATAAGTCATAAAGCTGAGCTTGCTGCACCTTGCTAGCCACATAGATCAGAATCAGAATCAGCTTGATTGACCGGGCACATTGAGTGCACAAGGCATTTGAGTCTGTGACTCTCAAGTGACTCTACAGTGACTCTTATCAAGATATGTGTGGTGTGTTTATTTCTCATGGTGTTATGTTGTTTGTTCTCCATTGCTGCTGAAATACTGAAATTTCCCCATTGAGGGATCAATAAAGTACCTACCTACCTACCTACCTCAGTGTGCAAGTACATTGTTCTTTGACCTCACACCACTTCAGGCTTTATAATTGCAAATTAGAAGACTATTACAGGAATGTTTGGTCTTTTTTTTAAATAGCATGTAAAAATGGATGAAATAATAAAATATCAGAATTTTATGAATTTTTCCACATTAGGATTTCTTTTATTTTAGCAATATAAAAATGTAAATTCACTTCAGTTAAACTATCAGTGGAAAAAACATGTAATAAAATATGAGAAAGCTGTCAAACAGATAAAAACATCAACATTGCTCATAAACACTGAGCATTACAATAATAACAGTCCATTGCTTTCATAACAAATGAACATGAATTCAGAAATATTTACAAAGAAAGAGAGCCTTGGTCAAAAATGTTTGGGAACTACAGGTCTATTCCGCTCCATGTTCTGACACACAGCTTACTCACAACCAGCACAAACACTGAAGACCTTGACAGTACACTGACCACACACAGGTCACCCGCACTTGAAGCATGATTTGACAGTTTTATTTTTATTGCTGTGCAATTTCACTCTACACTGCTTTTGCTTCTCCTGAGGCTGCTCTACCACTGTTTAAAGGCGCAGTGACACAGTGTCTGTTTCATTTGCATGTGGTCGCTGCGTAATTCCTTACACAACTGCAGAAGGAAGTGGTGCCTAGCAATTTTTACTTTTGTGCAGCTCCAGTAAAGAATGCATACATTGATGCCAACCAGGTCCAACATGTTATAGAAGACAATGACTGGCCATGTGCAGGTGACAGCTCTTGTGGAGTATTGTCCGATAATTTTGTCCAGGACATCCACTCCCACCTTGGTCTTGTTATAATAGTACACTGTGTTTGGCTTTTTCTTCTGGCTGTCACTTTCCAGGTTCACCGTCTGGTGCATTGTGCTGAGGATGCACACATTTTTGTTCACCTTGCCCTGGTATATTGTGAGCATTGCCTTTTCACTCTTCATCACTTTGATGTCATGCAGTAGTGCTTTCTGAAGCACAGAAGGTTGGAGTGAACACCTGTTTTTGTCGGTCAGGCTGTTGTTCCTTACTAGGAGTTTATGAACAAGGGGGAGTGATGTAAAAAAGTTGTCTGTAGTGACGTTTCTCCCCTTGCCTAGGTAAGGCCGCATCAGGATCATCACTCTCTACACTTATTTTGTATCTTGGTTGCCTAGCAATGCCTATTGTTAATTTTGGAAAGTGTGTGTGTGTGTGTGTGTGTGTGTGTGTGTGTGTGTGTGTGTAAAAATGGAGCAATGTGAGGCATTACTGTAAAGTGTTTTGAGCTGTGTATCTGACTGGATATATAATTTATATGGCTATATAAGTGCAGTATATTCACCATTTTTGCATTAGGAGTAATGGAGGTCAAAATGACCTCATGGTGGTTCTAGGTAAAACCACTCTTTTTTCTCTCCCTTTTATTCCAGAATCCCCAAAACACACAAGATGATGTGTAACACACTTTTAGGGAAAGTCACTGACTGGGAGAGATAGAGTTTTTACTCAAACAAAGTTACATGCATTTAAATAGGCAAGAGAGGTCAAAATGACCTCATGGCGGTTCTAGTGTTAAACAAAACAAGACTGGGAGAAAACTACAAATGTGAAGCTGAAGCATGTTTCTGCAAACTGTTTTTGGTAGAAGATGGACAGTGTTAGATGCTGAAGTCAGCGTTTCAGATTCCATTTATATTATGATCCAGGATTCTTCTCTTCAGCACCAAGGACAGCGCATGTTGTTTCACTTTTATAAGCTCCTTGTTTCTTTTACTGAGAGAAAGTGACAAAACTCCCTTAAAAAATCCAGCAGGTTCATTTTATTTTTATGAGAACAAAGATAACATTCAATACATTGTACAATTCAAACTGCACTAACTTAAATGTAACATCTTATGTAAAGTCATAGCAGTAATACATTAAGTTGAATTTACTGCAATAAACATTTTTAAAATTAGGCGGCTGCAGGCCATGTGTAACATTATTGAACTCTACATGAAGTCCCCAAACTCCTTCAAAAATCTAGTAGTTTTCTTTGTTAGAAACATGCACCATGAAACTAATCATTTCTTGAATCTTAACTTCTCTTGATAAATTTGATGCTCTTGCAACACAGTCCAAATATTTGTTTTATAGACATTTAACAAACAAGTGAACCTGAGGCAGGTAGGGAAGGTGTGGAGAAAGATACAGTATCTGTGCAGTGACCTATATGGAGACAGATGTGTCACCACCAGCTATGGACTGCACAAAACAATTTTAAAGTATTTGGAGAACTGATATGTTTTATGAGTTATAAATCATGGTTAGATTTTTTTATTCATGGTTTGTTGATAAACAAATCAAGGCTGCTTGACAGTCAAATTAGTTATTATTGTGAAAAGCAGAAGAATGCAAAGAAATGTGCGATACAGGACAGACCTTTATGCAGTAAAATCATAATGTATGTTGAAATAAATATTTTCATAAAGATTTAGATCTCTACATTTTTACCTTTACCAGTAGTTGTTTCAAGAAAAATAGTTGTGATGTGCCCCAGTAGAGCTTTATGTCTAGCAACCCCCCTGCTGTCTACAAGACCAACAGACTGAAAAATGAATCAGGCCCCTGATCTTAGCTCTCGGTTCAGGAGCTAACGTGGGCTAGCAGCTGTCTGCAGATGACACAAACACCGCAGATGGGTCAATTTCTGTCCTTTCTAGGTTGAAGCATCCTCTACTGTATGTGGCTGTATGGGACAGTATTATTCATTCATGTATTTTTTATTAACATATATGTATATAGTGTATATCTATGATGGATAATGAGCGTGAGCTCTCAAAATGGCGTATTTACTCAAAATTCAACTTCGCATTCTCTATAACGAAGATGACCCAACAGCCCCAAGGAACTTAAACCACCCAAAACTGAATGACAGTCTAGCCACGTTAGTCCATACAACATTAAGTGTCTCTGTCCAGATAACGATTGTCCTAATGATAACGATGTCCAGATAACGGATTTAGACTTTACCGTAACTGTACTAATGGAAACTATTACCATTACTGTTGGGGGCGCTGTCGTGCATGATGCGGGCTTTGGTGTTGGTTGTGAAGGTAAAAGGTCAGCCTGTGGAACGTGTGAGCAGGTTGTCACAGTACCGGTGTCATTTCACCCGCCGGCTGTTGCTGCTACATATATATTGGAACTGTAGCTGACATTGACGTTATCTTCGAAAAAAATGGCCAAAAGGCGGAGAGAAAGAAGAGAGACCGACGGTTCGTCGTCGGAACAGGAGGAAGTCAGGGCGAATGCTAGCGACTCACAAGTACACAAAGGTAGGTTCAGACGGCTAGCTGTTGGCTACCTGCTAACCTGGACAGAGAGGAAAGCAAATACTTGTTTATAAATCTGGCAATATAACGACTTCGCAACACCATTTTGAGGTCAGTGTGGACTCGGAGCTAATGTTAGCCGTAGGCTTACAGTTAGCTAGCTTTGATAGAATTAGCCGATCAGAAGATGACCGGCTTGATGACGTCAGGCTATTTACGACGAAACTGTTACAGCCTAGTTTTATCTTTAACAGTGGTTTACAAGTTGTTGTTGTTTTTTCAATTTAAAATCCTAATCTACAACGTAGCCTGACTACAATTGTCAACTAAATGTAGTAGAGTAAAAATGATTTGTAGTGGAACAAGTATAAAGCGACAAAATAAAGTATGAGTGAATTAAAGACTTATCATTCAGGCTTCAAAAGTGAAGGTCGGAGCGGATGGCACTGTTGTGAAATCAAGCTTATAAAATACTGTTAATATTGTCTTATTGTGTCCACATTAAGTATTTTGACCTGTAAACATGCATCAGTTGCATAACTGTTTTGTACTTTGAAGCACTGTCTGTAATGTGAAACTATTAACTTCCAGCTTATTAATTGAAATAACTAAGATTAAACAACGTAACAATATTCCTTCAGTTGCTAGTTTTTAACATTAATGCAGTCAAATACAACAACCTTGTAATAGTTTTTGACTTTAAAAAGCTTGTAAGGTTCAGTTTTGTTTCATCTGTTTACAACCGTCATAATAAACTGACAGTGAGTGTATGACTTAACTGGACCATCTTTAACTAGGAGTCCTGGCTTTATTAATATTTTCCTAATTGGATGAAAATTTATGTTGAGATTGCAAATATCTGTAAGCACATTCATCCCTAATTCCTGCTTTGATTGGTCTAACAGCCATAATTTACATTAATTATATTATTATTTGTAATTTGCCTCAGGCTTTCAGGTTAAACTAAATGATTTCTCTAGTGTGCTGTAAATGGCTGAAAAATGTGAACTACAAAAAGGTACATTTTCCCCAGGTACAGTATTATATTACATTACTACCAGATATTACTGTTGTTTCTTCGCAGTGTTCAGAAAAGTGTTTATTAAAAGCATGATTGAACTGTTGTCTCAGCAACACCAGGACTCATGAGGGAGACCCAGTTCCCTCAAGGGGCTTGAATAAATGATGTAGAACTCATAAGCGAAATTCTCAAGGCTCCTTGGTAGCTGGTTCGTTTATATGGCAAACTTTTCATTTATTGGGCAGTTAACTACTTCTCCTTCCTTACAGAGGCTCAACATAGTGCAGGGGGCTCAGCACGCATGTCCTTCCTGATTCTGGTGTCAGTCTTTACCTGCTCTGCTGCAGTCATGTACTTGGTCTACAGGAATTTCCCAGAGCTTTCTGAGTAAGTTGTTTTTTGAATTATTAAACTCATTTATTGTGAGGTGAGGCAATGTCCATCTTCAGAAATGATGACCTATTGTCTTTTTGAAATGAATTCTTGTTTTTTTTATATTAGTTTTTTTGTGGGTTTTTGAGGTTATACTAAAAATCTAAAGCAACTTTCGAGCAGGTACAAAAGGATTTGCACACAGGCCAATGAATTATAGTAATAGAAGCTGTAACTTGTGACTAAATTTCCTGTATTTGTGGACACTGTGATATCTTTTAAGACCCATTAGTAATGTGCACTGTCAGTAATGTTTATTTGCTTGCTTAAACAATTGCCATTAAAAATTGCTTAAAGGCATAAAATCATTAAAACCTTTGAGGTAAATCTAAGGTTAATATGCCACCAAACAAAGAGGCAGGCACCAGTGGGGTGTTGGACCTACGTACATAAGACCTGCCAAATCTGAGTCAAGCTAGTATAGACAGGCTGAGGCTAGTAAAGACACCAAGGGAGACATAATAACAGTGGAGGGGTGATGTGTTAGAAGCATTGGCGATTTTGCCAAACAGTAGGTTGAATGAGGTGTCTGATTCTGACATGATGCTGAGATGTGGCTTACAGTATCAATCTGCATTTTTTGTATATGCTTTTAACAGTAGTTAGGTCAATAAAACTATCTGCTTCACCATGGTTATGTTGGGAATTTGGAAATCTCTACTCTATCATTTGAATGACACATGTAGTTTCGAAAGTGAAGTACTGAATGATTGAGAGAGCACTGTGCCAAACAGGATTGGACTGAATACAAGCCACTGCAGTACACCAGTCTTTAAAGGGGTTCATTAAGAGATAAGTCATTTACACTGACACTGAGTGTTTTAGTTTGACCCATAAGAATAAAACCATATCTGCAGTTCAGCCTCTACACTCACTCACCTTCTGAGCCTGTCAAGAACCATATTAATCAATCACCGAACATTCTGTTTAGTGTCCTTGATAGAAACCAGACTGGAAACAAACAGGAAATATCTGTGTGAAATACTGTTAAGTATGATTGAAGATGATAATTTCTCTTTTTCCAGTGATGAAATGGAGAAAATTAAGATCCCTAAAGACATGGACGATGCCAAAGCTTTGGGAACTGTTTTGTCTAAGTACAAAGACACCTACTATACCCAAGTGTTGGTGGCCTACTTCGCAACCTATATTTTGTATCCTTGAAGAGTACATATGCACCATTTGTTTTCAGAACTGTCAGGCTTGCTGTGATAATTTGTAACAACAATTCAATTAATTTGTTAATAACTGAAATCTGCATTTGATCAGCTCTCCTGAGAACAGCTTAGCACATTTCCAGGCCCAAAAGAATTGGTCAGCATCAGCTTATTTATCTCAGGGTAGCAAAATAGCAAATAGTGCCTACAGTTGGCTTCTCTTGTTTCTTGATAGAATCTTCTACCAGGCATTCCTTACAAATAATCACCATATCTAGGTTTATAGAACCTTCCCAGCAACATTTCTGACATCAGAGAAAAATAATTCTATTCATTCTTCAAGCAAGTGTCAAGTGCATGAACCAACTCAAGCCAATGAAACTTTGGCCCCAAGTTGTGTCTTAGCTTATGTAAAGAATTGTGTGTGAGCACTGGCTGGGATGTGAAGATAGTCAGCTCTTCAGCTGCTTAAACTCCATACAAAACGATGTCCAATTATTAGTTTAATTGGCCTTTCCATTAGAACCAATGCTATGAGGACAAATCTGGTATAGGACTAGCTGGAGGAACACTGGGCATTTAAGGCAAATAGTGTTTTCTTCCATTTTGCATATTTCTCTTTCACAGTACAGTATCAAATCAAAGATTTGACAGAAGGACCAGCAGGCTAGAGTGTTGAGGAATATGATTTTGATGTATTTATTCTTGTTTTTGTTAATTTATTTGATTGAAAATGTGTGTGCTTGTGTGATAATTATATGGTTTTGCAAAGTCATTTTCCTTGACACCTTTGTCAGCCTTCAGACATTTGCAATCCCTGGCTCCATCTTCCTCAGCATCCTGTCTGGATATCTTTATCCATTCCCCTTGGCTCTTTTTTTAGTCTGTTTGGTGAGTAAGAACAGTGGGAAATATGTGCTTGAAAACAAATGTTGAATTGCATAATGAACAACTGTGCACTGAAATAGTTTCTACACTTCCCCTTAGGCAAAAATTAGTCATGTCAGGTACACCCTTGACAGGTCCCCATTCTATCACGGGGCTGACGTGTAGACAGACAACCACACACCCTCATATTCAGTCCTACGGGCAATTTAGAGTTGCCAGTCAAACTAAGCTGCATGTCTTTGGACTTTGAAGGATGAACAAAAGTAAATATGAAGAAATGGACCATCTCACTATCTTCCATGCTGCTTTGTTTACTGATCTCTTTACTGCTGCACATATTTGGCATCACCAATGTATTGATGTCAAATATGACTTAGCAGAGGGGTTATCTTTTTCTTATCATATGCTTCAGTCAGTCACTCATACTTCATGTCTTTCGGCAGTGCTCTGGTCTGGGTGCTTCCTTCTGCTATATGTTGTCATATCTGGTGGGCAGACCCATGGTCTACAAATATCTCACAGAGAAAGCACAGAAGTGGTCACAGCAGGTAAGAGTGTTAACACAGATGTACAATAAAACAAAATGTATTGTTAAGCACTTTTTTTTTTCTTGGACACATTTAATGTGGGGTATTAGCTTTTTCTTCATTTTAGCCATCTACAGTTACCTGTTTATTTAGTCAAATTACATGTTTTATTCATCCAAGACTAAATATTATTTAATTAATATCAGTTATGACAAAGAAAGGCAGCAAATCATCAGACTTCAGAAAATTCAACCAATAGTTGTTTGGGATTTTTATAAAAAAGAAAAAGACAAACGATTAACTGATTATCAAAATGGTTGTTGGTTATTTTTCTGCCGATCAGCAGTTAATCCACCAATCATTGCAGGTGTAGAGACAGGTAGTGACACAGTTTTATCACAAAATGCCATAGTTAATGATGGTGTTTTAATGTAGGGTTACCACTAATTATGGCCTCAAAAGTAACCATTCAGTGGAATAATCAGTTCTCTGACAGTGTTACCAAAGACTGATCATTATAACCGTCACAGATGCGATGTGCTGGATTGCAGTATTTTGTACCATTGTAACTAACAAAGTGGTAATTCCAGGCCTATGATTAAAGAAGCATATTCTTGACTTTTTGCTGGCAGGTTGACAAACATAGAGATCATTTAATCAATTACATCATCTTCCTGAGGATAACCCCTTTCCTTCCCAACTGGTTCATCAACATTACTTCACCTGTCATCAATGTGCCTTTGGGAGTTTTCTTCATTGGTACCTTTCTTGGTAAGAACAGTCTGTTCCTTCCATTGTATGTTAAGCCTTTTCAATATGGAGTACGTTAACATCACTGACTTTGTGTCATTCAGATCTAGGTCAAGGTCAAAGTGTTTATTTGTCATGCACAGTTAGGAAACGTGTTTCCCTGTACAATGAAATTCCTACTTTGCCGTCCACATAAAACAAGTGAAATATAAAGTAGATGAGCAATAACACAAATCTAAATAGGCAGTAAAATCACTAATCTAAGGCACTTTAAAGCAGCAAGCGAAGGAAGCAAATAAAAATACAACAAGAACACAATATAATGCAGAGAGAATATATCCTACGTGGGAGCCGTGGAGTGTAAATACTCAACAGTGAGTATGCAACTACTGTATGCATGTGCAAAATGAGTATGTAAACAGTACGGATGGATTTACATGAGGTAGATCTTGAGTCAGCTGTTTAGGAGTCTGATGGCAGAGGGAAAGAAAGAGTTTTTCATTCTAGAGGTCCTGAAGATGTGGGTAACTTACATCAATGCCAAGACAGTTACAGAAGGAGCATGCTGTGTTTGGCATGTAACATGTAAGACTAGTTGGACAGATAAAAAATATTTTTGCTTGTTGTTATTGAATAGTTAAACACATTTTAAACTGTTGTAAATGGTAGGCACACTAAAATTGTCCTCTTGTCATAATCATGAGTATGCCTAATTGTCAGTGTGATGGCACTCATTCACACTTCTCCTTTCTTGAAGGTGATGTGGAATAGATCCAAACTAATAAGGTTGCTGTCATTGACTTTTACAGAAAAGTGGCCAAGGCGTTTATTCAGACATGAGACTGGCATGTTAATCTACTGTCTGATTAATGGAGTGGTGTGCATGTCTAACTTTTATTGTGGTATTCTTTGTTGTCATTGACTCACCTGTATTCTACCTTGTTAATTCACAGGAGTGGCACCACCATCCTTTGTAGCGATCAACGCGGGTACAACACTGTACAAACTGACCACAGCTGGCGAGGCCGTGTCCTGGAACTCTCTGGCTGTGCTCGGTGTACTCGCCGTGCTCTCAATCTTGCCCGTCTGTTTCCAGAAGAAGCTGCAGCAGAAACTAGAGTAGAGAACTAAAGACCCCAGCACCTCATCTCCTGGCTGATCCCAGCATCCCCTTCCCTCGGCTCAGGAACATGCAGCTGTCACTCAAGTTGCTTCGCCTTGGTCTCATACACTGGTGTAAGAATCTCTGACCACTGGCACGACATGTACTCCTTGACCACAGAATGCGTGCAGTTGTGGGTCGTTCCTGATGTTAAGCAAAGTATAAACTGGCCACTTCTTGCGCAAGTCATTTAGTTTCTGTGAATTATGTTGTTGATTGTGGCACATCCTGTAAATAAGGGACTTTTTTTTTTTAAGGCACTGCTCACTGTATGACTGGCCAGAGAATTAAAGGTGCTACTTGAAGGATGTTGAAGTAAAACACAGTATGATTCTTGCATTTAAAACTTTTTTTTATACGGCCTATTGTTATGGCAAATACCGTTTCTCTTTTCTTATTAGAACCTGCTGAAAACTGTCAGCAGTAGGCTTCCTTGTTGAGGCTTGTGCAAACATCTGTTTATTTTACTTAATGCTACTTTAAAAATTACAATTTCTTCAGCAGTAGCATATCAAATAATACATCCTGTTTATAGCACCTTTAAGTCTCACTCCCCTTAATTTATTTTAACTTGTTTCTAATTTTAACTTAGTGAATTGTACCACCACAGCAATAACTGTCAGACTACAGTTGAAAGTGGATTTTACTTGGGGAAAAAGTATGTTTTGATACCTGGTGCTTGCCTTGGCAAACATATGCAGTGTGAGGAAAGAATGAAATTGTAGAATAGAAAAATGTAATGATTGATCTTAGTAAGTGCTACTTTTGTTGATGTGAGTGAGCGTCCATGTGCTTCCTCTTTGAAAGGTGCCTAGGTCCACTGCCACACAATATTTTATGTTCACCTATCTCTGTTCATATTAGTAGCCTAAAGCAGTTCTTTGCCACAGTAACCTGTAACTAACAGACTAAGATACAATTGCAAAATACCAAAGTTGATGCATTGTCCAATTCAAATTGGTATTTTAATTAAGGAGTATAGATTGTGTAAGGAAAAAAAAAAAATAATATATATATATATGCAACCCAGAAAAGATGATACAAAGCCAAATTGAATAATCCTGGGTTAGATGGCTCTCAAGACTTGCATATTGAGGATAATGTACACACTTCTAGGTGTGTACTCTGTGTGTTCATCTCTGCTCCATGATATTGTTTGCTATGCTATGCTAGTATACAACTGGAGAGGTCCATGCCATGGAGGATACATAAGTGTCCTCAATAAGACCTCCATCAGACTGAGCTGTCCAAGCCTTGCCTTGGCTTTACCGCTTCCATTCTTCACCAGGAGAAATGTGTTAGGATGGCTGATATACTGTGTGTTGTCAGTTTGCATGGTTTGAATGGTTTTGAGTGGTTCTGTACTGTAAAACCATTCTGATTATTTTCCCCAGGTTTTTTTTTTTTTCGCATATCAAGGCCACTTGTTTCTGTTCCTTAAAACTTTCTGCGTGGTCACAATTGACAGCTCTTTAATCGTTTAAAATTGCACTTTCACAGAGGTGCATTTTGAGATTCCATGTTTTTACTTTGTCTTAATACTCAACAGATTTACGGACTACTTGCAGTAAGAATATTTACCTGTCAAACCCAGATTAGAAATCATTACAAAATTGTTAATGTAAAACTTGAACAGGTCTTAATGAGGGTACTAATGTCTTGGCATTAACTGCACTCGTATCTTTTGTAGTTGGTATTAACTACATCAGTTAAAGAGAAAAAGTTGATTTTATGGTTCTTACTGGTTTATCGGAGAGCTGTGTTTGTACACCTGACGTACATTGTAGTCTTGGAAATGGACCTTCAGTAACGTGGTTAAGCCAAGTGACAAATGCTGTAAACTGGGCCTAAAAATATAAATGTTTGTCTTCATATGTATAGAACCTACATTAAGTTGTTAATTCTCTATAATAAGTCTGCCTACACATCAGTGATACTAGATTTTAATTCATTTTTGTTCTGTTTGCTGAAATATTTAAACCTTTTCTGAACTTCATGCTCAACATATAGTCAGATTGGACATGTTATCAGTTTTGTGCAGTGGTGGAAAGTAACTAAGTAAAGTACATGCAGCACTGTACTTAAGAAGATTTTGAGGTATCTGTACTTTACTTGGGTTTTTTTCATTTTCTGTTACTTATTACATCCCTACACTTTATAGGCAAATACTCCAATACATTTATTTTATAACTTTAGTTACTAGCTACTTTTCATAACCAGGTTAATATAAAAAATACTTTATAATTATAAGACCTCATTGATCTGTAGTGGAAAATTCACAAGCTACCCAGCAGTAATTCAAATTAAATGCATGTAGGATATTTAAAACTAGCTCCCCCTTTACCAGCTGCAACATTAAATGTGATATACACAATAATGCAAAGTAATTATAATACAATTATATGATATACAGGAATGTGAGATGTGTCATTCTGCATAATGAGTACTTTTAGTACTTTACATATGTTTTGATGCTAATACTTTTGTACTTTTACTTAAGTAACATTTTGAATGCAGGACTTTTATTTCTAACAGAGTATTTTTACACTGTTTTATTGCTACTTTTACTTTAGTAAAGGATCCAAGTACTTCTTCCACCACTGGTTTTGTCCAATCAAATATGTTGTAAGGTGTAACCCACGGTTAGCATTTCAAAAGGCAGTGTTATTTTGTACTGAGCAGTGATGTATTGCAGTATGAAGTATTTACAGATTGCAAATCTCTGTCCTATCTTATCTTTTTTCAAAAATATATTTATTGAATCATTAAAATTATCTTTACAAAGTGTGATTAAATTCTGAGAATTGCCCTTAAAGAGCATATTTTTAATCATTCCGCAGTGAACTATCAACAAAGTATAATAGCATATTGTGGTAGTGAAACAAAAAAGTGATAGATAATTAACATTTAAGTCTTCAAAATTGGGGTTTCCCACCAATTGTGTAATAATCTCATCAATATACCTCTTTTGCTGTTTAGCACCATGAAACATGCAGCAAACTTCACTAAACGTAAACAAAATTATTTGTTTCTATAGCCCAAACTTTGGCTCAGTTAATGCAGTTTGTTTATTAAACCATGAACAAATGTCATGTACTGTATTCTGTACACATCAAGTTTTACAGAACAAAATGAGGGTTGAGTGCCACCAGGTGGTGTTATTGTAACATACTTACTGTGGCCTGTTTGGCTACACTCGGCCGCTTTGGAGGTAAGGTCCAGGAACTAAATTTCAGCACACATCAGGAGGTAGTACTTGAAATCAAGTTCCAGTAACATGAGGGGTTGCGTGCACCCAGAGCAGTCACCGGTGATTTGTTAAATGTCTGTCTTCACATCTCAAGTATTAGAAAGCACCAGCTGACTGTGCATGTAAGGGGTACAGCTCCTCCCTCTAAACAGAGACTCAGAGAAAATACAGTGGAAAAACAAAGCAGGATGGTCAGTGTTAACCCAGGAGGCTAGGCTTGGTGATGGTTAAGGGAAACGGGGTACATCACTCATTAGGTGCTGATAGATAGAGCACTAGTTAGAATGTTTATAAAATATGTTTATCAGCCAAAATTGACAATTAATTCAAATGTTTAAAAAATCTGAATATTAAAAGAAATAACCATATTAACATAAATGAAGAGATTTTGCTCCAATATATAGCCTGTGTTTATCATTAAACATTACATTTAATCACTGGTACCTGTGTGCATTTTACAGCTGTGTTCCAGTCTACACTCTAAACAGCAGAATACTGATTCCCATGCACAATAACCACAGCTGCACTTTCTCTACTGAGAGTAATAATCCGTGCTTGGTTCATGCGCAAACAGTGTCAGTTACTTTATGGATTTAAAACAGATGACTACAGCTGTGGTGTTGCTGTTGGACCACAATGCATTTCGACTGCAACTGTGATTTCTATGGATGTGTAAAGCAAGAAATAATTCAATTAGTACCAGGCATTTATTTCAAAATAAAGCAGTTTTTTCCCCCAAATTACAAATCAAATCAAATTTTATTTATATAGCGCCAAATCACAGCAAAAGTCATCTCAGGACACTTTACAAAGTAAGGTCTAGACCTTACTGTTATCAATATTATTACATAGGGAAAACCCAACAAATCCCCCTTGAGCAAGCACTTGGCGACAGTGGGGAGGAAAAACTCTCTTTAACGGAAGAAACCTCCGACAGACCCCGGCTCTTGGTGGGCGGCCTTCTGCCTCGACCGGTTGGGGTGAGTGGATAGAGGAGAGACAAAAGAAGAAAAGCAACAAGACACAACAAACAATCAAACACTGATCAGGTCGATGTGGCTGGTGACTGCTCATCAGAGACACAGAGCTCCAGGGCCAGGGCAACCTGCAGAAAGGTACAGGGAGAGAGAGAGAGGACACACTACGGGAGAGAGGAGACACACAGTTAGTAATGTGTAATGGTGGCATATAGAAGCATAGGGAGAGAGAGGAGAGGAGATGAGAGCAGGAGGGGAGGGGAAAGAAACTCAGAGCATCATGGGGCCCCCCAGCAGCCTAGGCCTATAGCAGCATAACTACAACTACAACAATTGCATAAAGTGCTAAGCACAATTAATTACTCTGCGGATACCAAAACTATGAGTGTTTCCACATATAATCATGGGCATATTACAAAACGGTGGGCACAGATATGTGAAAGGCCACGACCCTTCCCACAATGGAGGAAGCGCCCCAGACTGAAAGAGACCCATTCAGAAATCTATCCTTTGTGAATTCATACTCTGTAAAACATGGAAAAGAATTTTTTCAGTCACACAGGTGGCTCAAAATGTTAGAATTTTACAAATATCACAGAAACCACACCAGATGAAGTGATAGTTTTGAAATCATATATCACCATTTTATTTTATGACAGACTCTGACAGCCTGCCACGGTTCTGATTAATTAATTAAGTAAAGGTTATTTACTTTGTGTAATTTTATATATTATTTATATATAGATCTTATTGTGCTTTTGTTTATATTGTGGTGTTATTTTAGTGTTTTAAGCTGAGCAAAGCAGCACATTGTTAAATAATTTGTAAATCATTTTATTGATCATTTCTAAAAGCACACCATAGATTAAATGGTAGCTGTGGAACATGGATTCATCATTTTATGAAGTTGGGTAGGAAAAAAAAATAAACTGTACTAGTAATTTGTTGTTTATTACTGTAAAATGTAACAGTGCACATTATGCGTGTATTAGGGAGGACGCAAAAAAGATATTAAGATTATGTGTAAGCATGTACAGCAATAATAAAAGAGAAACGCATAACATCGCAAAACATCATAATGTACAGGACACTAGGCCTACGTGACTACTCCAAGTTTCTACTCGGCTTAGCCTTGTAGAGATTGTGTTTTATTGTGAAGGGGTCCAACCGGATATGGCGTTACCGTCGCTGCTGGCTTTTAGCAGAGCAGCGTAGCCTCACATCGGTAGTGATTTTCAAGCTTCGCATTATCGTAGAATTCGTGATGGCAGACAGAAATCACTTCTCCGAGTTCCTTTAATATGCTCCCTGTTGAGGGGGAAGGGGTACCACCGGACCAGTCTCAGAATGACCACCGGCTTCAGCTCCGGTTCCTGCCGGTTCGCAGATTATTTTGTGATCTGCGGACTCGACACCGAAAGCGGGCTGGAACCCGACGAACTATCCGGTAAGCATTGCAGCCGTCGGGTAAATGTCGATCAGACGCTGTGGCAAATAAAGAAGGAAGGAAGGGGTGCTATAGCATCAAGTTAGCGTTATAATTGAGTTTTTATTGTATCTTAACGTGCCAGCGGTTTGTTTATTTGTGTAACGTACAATGTAGGGTATACAGATTAACCATGTTAGGCCTAGCTCATCTTCTCTCAGCCAGGTTGTAATGCTCGAAGAGAGGCGAAGGGATTACTGGCTTGTCATGTCTCTTTAACGGACATGAATTTTAATTCAAAGGCTGTCGATAAATTCTCTCTGGATTTAAATACTTTGCATATGCTGTAGATATTTGATATTGGTGCTGCGCAATAATAAACATTTTGCGTGAGAGACACTTTTCTGACAGGTACAGCAGACCTTCTGGTGTTGGTAGGTGGTATAACACAGATGTAGCGTTATTACAAGTGAAGATAGTGGCTATCAGTGGCTTGTTTACAGGAAAGTAGTAACACACATGGACGGATAAACCTGCCAGATGCCCCAGGGCAAAAATATAGCATGCCCCCCATGGAGCCCTGACATCATTATTGTGCACATAACCATGTTCTTAAAGTAACCTCCTCAGAGGACACACCCTTCCCTTCATAAACAATTATATAAATATCTTATGAAAGTACAAAAGGTTGTGACACACCTGGATCCTGTTTGTTTCTAGGACGGCAGCCCTTTCTATTATGATGTACCTGCATGAGCATGTGTTTTATATTGAAAGAGAGAGGATTTGCAAATATATTTGCGTGTACAACATAAATACAGGCAGTGCTGCTTTGCCCAGCACTGGGCGAAATGTTTCAAATGTATGTTTGATATAAATAGAGAACACATTTTTAGTATCATTCACTAGGAGTGGGTGATATGACAGTATATATACTAGGGCTGCTCAAATATGGCAAAAATAATAATAGGTTATATTGATCAATACTGAGATCATGATTATTTAAGACAATTACTCATTGATTTTGCAACATTGTGAACTTATTGAACCTTTTTCCAAAACTTGATTTTTTTTTTAAGTGGATTTTCATGAACACTGAATGCTGGAACTCAAACAGGAAGTTGGCCCCTGTCTGTCAGATTTTAGTATATTGTATATATCATAGCAGTTATTCTTTTTAATATTTCTGGGCAGTTTTTAGCAATGCTTCAGTTTTTGATTTCTGTATCAATGTGATAGTGTTTCATATAATTTTTATTTCACAGAATCAGGTAAACACTAATATTCAAATTCCATAGATCTTTTCTCATTTGTATTTTATTTTTAAATTGGTATCACCCTGCAAAATTATTTTTAAATTGGTTTCACCCTGCAAAATTACATATATGGTGACACAGGATTACATCTGTGTTGCCCACTCATTCTCAAATAGTAAAACATTTTCTCTGTGTGCAAAGAATATGATGACCGCATTCTCATTGAAATCTTCTGTAAGGTTAAATCAGACAGTAGCCAGTATTCCCAGTATTCCCATTTGGAAATACTTATCAACTATGCTTGTTACCTCTTCCAAACAATACTCCAG